ATAATGATGATGATGATGATGTTTGCTGCCACTTTTTGTGAGTGTGAGTGTGTGTGTGTGTTTGTCTATAATATCTGTATCTTAAATATTTTAATTTCAGTGTTTGGCACTTTGTTCAAATTGGTTTTTTTTACCCCTTAAAAAAATGTTTAATTTATTAAGATTTTCGGTTACAATACAATACAATCAACCATTGAAAAGCAAACAGAATCTATAGAAGACATAATACCGGCATTTTGGTTAATTGGAATGAAAAATTTTTTCACCATCAAGTGTCACTGTTGTAGCTATTATTATTCTAATCATCATCATCATCATCATCCATTTATAATTCTTGTGTTTCTCGTCATTTAATTTGATTTCCATTTTATTGAATTAGCTTGAAAAAAACACCAACATCGACAACAATCAAGATTCTGTCAAAAAAAAGAAGAAGGTACAAGAATCTTGTGTGGAATTGGTTTTTTCTTTTTTCTTTTACCATTTCACTTGTGTATACCCATAGGTTGCTGACAGCGAACGAAAAAAAAAATCTTGTTAGCACATCATGTGTGTGTGTGTAGCGAATGAAAAAATTTCATTCGCTACTTTTGTTTGAGTATGGCAATTTTGTATCGAAATTTTTTTTTTTTTTTTTTTTTTTTTTTTTTTCAAACTGAAAATTCATTGACTTGTGTGTGTGTGTGTGTGTGTATGTTTCGCATTCGTTCTTTTGCCATTTGTTGAATATGTTCTTTGTTTTGTTTGTTTGTTTTTTTTTCTGCCAAATCTTTTTTTTTCTGAATCGATTCTTTTTTTGTTGTTGTTGTCGTTGTTGTTGTTATTTACATGATTTTTATATTCAACTCGGAAGGCTATATTATCGATCTGTTTTGTTGTTGTTGCTGCTGCTGCTGCTGTGCATCATGATTTTTTTTCTGATATCGAATATTTGAATACAAGAAGATGAAAAAAAATTGATTAGTTACTTTTCGTTCCTCTAATTTTGAATATCGCGATTCGTTCATCATCAGTATCGATATGTGTGTGTGTGTGTGTGTGTGTGTGTTTATCACCTAATCATTTGGCCTTTTTTTCATTCGATTCGATTATTTGATAAATTGTGTGTGTGTGTGTGTGTGTGTGAAATTTGAGATTAGAATTAGTTCAAAGATTCAAAATCATTTTTCAAATTGAATGTGCTAACTAGATATATGTCTGTGTGTGTGTGTTTTTATTTTCTTCTACAATATCATTTCATTTTTTTTTGTATAGAAATTTTTTTTATATTTAATGATCTGACAATCATCACGTCTTGTCCACGATGTATCACACAGTATGTGTGTGTGTGTGTGTTCTAAACTTAAAAGATAATTCTTGTTGATCATTGATGATGATGATGATGTACATTGAAAGATGATAGATATCAAGTAATCAAAAAAAAAAAAAAAAAGTTTGTTATCAGTTTGAATGTTGTGTGTTTGAAAGAAATAAAGAAAAGAAAGATTATCATTAAAGTTCTTTTGTCACTAAAATACAAAAAAAAAAAAAAATGAGAAAGATAGATAAAGAAAAAAAACCAACCATGTCTATACACACTACATATATATTCATAATCTATCCGGTATCTGTATGTCTAATCTATCTATCTATCCATCCATCCATCCATCCATTGGTCTTTGACTTTGACTTTTTGTTGTTGTTGTTTTTGTGTGTGTGTGTGTGTATGTGTTATCGATTGTAGTTATGAGAAGTTTATTTTATTAAGATCAAACATTGATGGTTATTTTTTTTATTGATTTTTTTTGTTGCAATTGGAATTCTTCCGATTGTGTTTGTGTGTGAATCGATTAATGATGATGATGATGATTTAATTTTCCAGAAAATTTTTAAATTTTAATGTTTTTTTTTCATCTTTGTTTTTCATTATCTTTTCTTGTTGTGTTCTGGTTTTTTGTTTTGTTTTGTTTGATATCAGCCAAGTGTATGTGTGTGTGTGATATTTGGTAAAAATTTTTGCCTGCTTTCAACATGTGTGTGTGTGTGTGTGTGTGTGTGTGTGTGATTGTATGCAAGTGATGTGCAAAGATAATAATCAAAATATATATGAAAAAAAAAATTGAAAGAAAGAAAAATGATCATCAAAACTGAAACCAGAACGATGATGAAGAAATAAAAAAAAACGAACGAATAAAAAACTGAAAATGGGCAAAAAAAAATCTATCTAATCTTGTTGCCAAGACCTAAAGTTGCTTAATCTATTTTGTTGTCTGTGTGTGTGCGTGTTTTTTTTAGTTTGTATTTTCGGGTTTTTTTTTCCCGTTCTTTCATCAATGAAAATGGAAAAAAAATGAGTATATAATAACAATCTTTTGCCCTGATGGAATTTTGACTGATTATATTCATATTCAGAAAAAAAAAAAAATACAAAAAGATAAATTCGAGAAGATACAACCATCGCACACACACACACACAAATGATTGTAAGTGCATTTATTTCAATTCAATTTTATAGTTATCGAAAACAGTGATCTGGCCAAAAAACAAAACAAAAAAAAGTTTTGACTTTCATCGACACTCTTATGAAAGAATATTCCATATTTATATTTAATAATAATGTATTTATTCTATATTTATCTCCACATGGATGTTTCTCTCTCTCTCTCTCTTTTTCTCCCATCACCACCACCACCACAACCATTACCACAATATCTTTATCTATCTATTTTCGTTGTGCGATAATGATCTTTGATGTTTGGTTTTCTATTCGTCACAACTTTCAAAGAAAAAAAAACAATTAGATTCTATGAATTTCCTTTTTTTATGAATTTTATTCTTGTTTTGTTTTACGTCAAACGTTTTTGCCGCAGTCATGTGTGTGATGACGTTTGTGTAACGTAGATTATGAAAACCTCCGTTATATGTAGTTCAGAATGTTTGACAATGTACTGAAACAAATTCTTTGGTTCTTGATTTTTTTGTTGTTGTTGTTGTTGTTTTAATTTTGATTCAATTTCTTTGGGTTTTTTTTTGTTTGTTAACAATCTCATTTGTTGATAAAATTGTTTATCACCAAATTCGGTTTATTAGTCTAAAGATCTTCAAAATGGTGTGTATGTGTGGAGAAAATTTTATCATTTTATCATCATAATTTGTATATTTTTTTCATTATATGATATATATGAATATATATATAGAAATGATGCAATTCATAGGCCAATCTTTTTTTATTTTCATTCCCAATTTAAAATCAAAGCAATTGAATTGGAAAAAAATTGATCGAATCTCTCATTCACTCTATATTCGAAAACAAAATAAAGAAAAAAAAATTTCTTTTTCCATGTGTGTGTGTGTTCGATATTTAGCGCTCATTGACAACAACAACAACAACAATAAATCTTTTATATGATAATCTTATCGGTTAGTTCTTTACTATTACCAATGACCTGTCTTCATCATAATCATCATCGTTGTGTGTGTATGTGTGTATGGTGAACCAGAGTCGAAACGCAAAACAGATCTATGATTTGGTTTTTTTACGAGCCAAGCATTGAATATATTTTCGTGGTTTTTTTTTTTTGGTTTTAAACAGTTTGAATTTGAAAAAAAAAAATTCGATAGATAATCAAAGAGTGTGAGGAGTAAAGAACGAGAGGAGAAAAAAAAATCAAGCTTAGTAACAGGACCAGAACTTTGGCCTTTACTGTTGCTGCTGCTGTTGTTGTTGTCTATTTTTTTTTCTTCGTGCGACTACAACAACAACGACGATGACAAATCATCATCATCATCATCATCAGTTAAAAAAAATGAAGATGAAACATTTTGTTTGCTTGGCGTGTGTGTGTGTGTGTGTGTGTATGATCATCCAATTTGGTAATTGATGAAATGTATTTTTTTTTTGTTCTTGTCGGTATTGGTTATCGGACTTTTGTGTGTGTGTGTGTGTGTGGTTACTTGATCGATCAATCGATGATGATTATGATGATGATGATGGTGATGATGATATCAATCGATCGAGATATATACATTTGGGGAGTGGTGATGGATATAAAAAAAAAATTTTTTTTTCTTGCTTGCTTGCTTGCTATTTGGTTGGATGGCCATATTTTTTTATCATTTTTTCTGATATTTAGATTATCAAATCGGAAATTGATTTTTTTTTTTTTAGTGTTGTGTTTATGTATGGACGAATGAATAGTGGAAAGAAATTCAAGATTAAATTTGGATATATATGAAAATTTTTTTTCTCTCTCCGGATGATGGACAGATCAATTGGGAGGGGTTGGAAAGACGCATCACCACCACCACCACCCACACTTTAGATCTTGATTCATTCAATTGGATTTTGAGAAAAAAAAAATCAAAATTTCTTTGAATTGATCTCTTTTTTTTCTATTTATTGAAAAAATCCAATTCATTGATATATTTGTTTGACATAGGAAAAGTTTCTCTTTTCCACATTTTATAGATGATTGTCATGATAACACCATATGTGTAAAGCATAAAGAAAACAAAACAAAAAAAAAAAAATTTCTTTTCATCTTAATAAGATAAAATTCCTGTAGATAGGAGAAAAATTTTGTGTATAACAGTGAATAATTTTTGTCTTATAATAATGTTAAGAAAATGTGAAAAAAAATGATATCCGATTAGATCACTTGTATAGATATTAATCATTTCATTTCTTAGAAGATAAAATTATATTTGTCTCTCTGTCTATGTCTGTGTGTGTGTGTGTGTGTGTGTATAATGCTTATCTAATTTTTATTAGATAGTCAATTTTTTTTTTGATATAAATCCTTTGTGTTTGTTTTGTTGTTGTTGTTGTTGTTTGGTGGTGGTGGTGGTGGTAGAGGAGAAGATGATCATTTATGAGATGTTTTTTTTTCGTACTGCTTTCCTTGTATATATTTACACTAAAATCAAAATATGATTGTTTTCGATTGTCCTAAATATATTTTGTCTAATAAAAATTTTTTTTTTTTTATTTTTTTACAAATTCATTATATTTATATATATAGGAATGTGATTTGTCACAAACTAATAATAAGAATTCAAACACAGTGAACAATATTGCTGGTGAATCAATAACAGAAACTACTGAATCGGAACAAGAAATAGAACAACAACAGAAACTAAAACAACAACAACAGCAACAACAACAACAACAAGATGAGATTCAATTATTATATTCAGCATCATATGATTGTTTAGATAATTTTCCAATCGGTTGTGGTACACATCCTGAATTAGATTATACAAGTCATTATTCATTTCTAGATGATGTTGCCGATCAACAGGATGATGAAATTGATGACCTGTTGACATTGATTAATCCTGAATGTATATTAACCGAAGAGGAAGAGAATCGTATTGCCGAAGAAACAAGAATTAAACGAAAATGTATTGCTGAAATTGTAATTGGTGAACAACATTGTGAAAAGAATAAAAGAAATCCAACTTATGAACAACAATTAAAAGTGAATAATCAAAAAAACCAGCCATTTAATCCATTTGAACAATTTGGCTCAAAATCATCTAATATTCAGGTAATAACACCGTCATCGATTGTTGTGAAAGATGAATATTCAAAAAATTCGTCATCTAAACCAAGTCCATCTGTGACAACATTAAAAACTGTACCGATAACAACAACAGCAGTAACAGCAACAACGACAACTTCGTTATCGTCCACTAACAGTGACATCGTTCAATATAATAATAATAATAATCATAATCATAGTAATCGATCCTTGTTATCAATATCTCAATCCTCCTCTACTTCTTCGACAACTAGTGGCAATCATCATCTTCATTATCATCAGCCACCACAACCACAATCAAATAAAAACTCACTGACTCAACAATTATCTTCGTCTTTGTCGTCAACGTCGTGCACAACATTTTCTAATGATAGTGTCTCAGTTGCTGTTTCGTCGAACAATACGATTGAAGAAAAAAAAGAAGAAGAAGGTTCAACTTTGATCCAATCGCAGTCGATATTTACACCATCATCATCCATATCGTCACCAACAACATCATCATCGTCATTGTCAGTGTCGTCTAGTTGCGTTGTAAAAATCATCGACCAACCGTCACCTAACGCTCCGTTAGGAATTTCTGCATCAAATTTAAATAATAAAAAATTTGCTCTAGTTCCTGTTTCAACAACAACCACAACCGGAACAACAAAACCATCAGTCATATCGATTTTACCTGATTTGGATAATAAATTACAGAGTGTATCGATTGTAGCCAATAATTCTCATACACAACGATCAATTATAAATAGATTAACACCAAATTCGCTTATTCATCAGTCTCAATCTTCAACCACAGCCGTTAATTCGAGCTCTTCACAACCGTCGACATTTTCATCATCAACATCGACAGTTGACACGAAAATCACATCGACGACCAATATTTCATCACCTTTAACATCATCATCATCGTCATCATCATCATCAACATCAGCAACAACAACAACAACAACAACATCCGGAACTGGCATTAAAACACATCCATTTGTAATCAAATACCGTAAACCTAATGGTACGATGGCCACAACTTTAGCATTGATGCTTGGTAGTAAATCTGATTCTACAAGTGGTACTAGTCCTACGTCTGGTAATCAAAACACATCAAAACAAATGAATCATACACAGAACAAATCACAAGGTGTTGATTTAACCACTATGTTCAACACTGCCGTACTAGCCGGATCATTAAATCATTCCATATTGGAAAGTGAAAGTGGAGATAATGGCAATACATTTATTGAAAATGCTGCTGCTGATGCCGACCGATATGTACGGGAAACAATAGAGCCATCATCATTATCGTCAACAGCATTTACCAATCAACGTGTCCAACAGATGGCGATACCTCCATATCTATCAAATGTATCAATAGGAAAAACCGGAAATGCCGCCGGTATAGAATATCCACAAGTAAGAGATTTATCACGTCCATTATCACCAAATTCGGCGAGTGCATTTTTTGCTGCCGCTGCTGCTGTTTCCGAGATTGATGCCATCAAATTTGAACGTGAATGTGTAAATTGCGGTACACAAAGTACAAGCCAATGGAGAACAAATGGAAATGGACATTATCTATGTAATGCTTGTGGATTATATAAGAAATATAATGGTGAAGATAGACCACCGGCCAGTATTCAACAACCTCGTAAAAGAACCGTAAGTATCGTTTATAGATTTTTAATAAAAAAATTGAAAGAAAGAAAAAAATTCTATTATTTCATCATATTTGAAAAAAGAATTGATGTTTTTGACACATTCTTTAATGATTCGGGTAACAGAAATTATGATTATGATGATTATGATTATTGGAAAAAAAAGTGAAACCATCAAACAAACAAAAAAAATGGCGTATAGGAAAAAGTTTTTCAACTTTGATGAACGCGAGCTCGTTGTTCCTAAAAATAGCCTGATTTTTTTTCTGTTTTGTTTCGGTATTAGATAGATAAAGTTTATGAGAACACACATCATTTTTTTTTTCTTCAAAAGCAGACCAGAATATACGAATGAAAAAAAAGATGAATATTTTTGAACAAAAAGAGATTAGAGCTTTACTCTATTTTATTATAAACGAAAAATATACAAGTGAAATAGCACACAAGTTGTTGCATTTGATGTTATGTTTAAAAAAAACCGTATATTGTAAACAAAAAATCCAGGCTTATGTCTTGATTTTGTTTTCATCGTCATCATCATCATCATCATCTTTTTGTTGCAACCAAAATGATATCGTCGTTTGGATAAATGGTGCCGTCATTTTTAAGCATTAGATTTTAGTTTAGTTCGTCAACATTGGAAAAAAGGCAACAAATCTTTCAATGCTCCATCAAACCGAAAACCCATAAACACAAACAAAATATAGCCACCACCATGATGCATTTGTTCTTTTCATTTTGTTCACTGGAAAGCAATAATAATATTATTTGCCAGATAATAGCAAATTTTTTGAAGGAATGTTCTGTATTTCTTGTCTAAAATTGTATTATATATATGTTTTTGTTTAGTTGATTTCTTCGTCTTCTTCTTAAATGATCTCTGTATGATTTTCGATCGCTTGATCGCTGGCTCTATACATGTTCTGTGTGTGTGTGTGTGTGTGTGTGTTGTGCTTGTTGAAAAGATAGATAGGCAGTTCGATCTTTCAAAATAGTTAGTTATATGGGGGGCAATGGAAAAAAAGTTGATATCATTTGCCAACACTCTATGATGATGATGATAGTGATGAAGAACAAAAAAGCAACAAGAACTTCGATCGATTCTTGTATATATATGTGTGTGATTATCATTGGAATGTGTGCAATAGAATTTATTCCGTTATTTTAATACGCCGTTAGATTGGAATATCAACAAAATTTGTTCATTTTGATTTTTTTTTCTTGATGCTTGTCTCAGAAATTAAATTAAATTCGTTCCTTATTCATTCAAACAACGACTAATTCATTTATTTTATTGTAAAAATTTTTTTTTCTTCCATGGAAAATCAATCCTCATCAATACCATGTTCATGGTCATCGATATCGAAATTAAAATCAACCGGAAATGTTGTTACGAAAAATGTTAATCTTAATCTTAATGTTGAAACAAAATTGAAGAATCAACAACCGAAACAATGTTCGAATTGTGGGACGTTAACATCATCAATGTGGCGTCGTACAGCCAATAAACAAGTGGCCTGTAATGCTTGTGGCCTTTATTATAAACTTTATGGTGTCAATCGTCCAGTCGAGATGCGTAAAGATATTGTCTATCCACGAAATCGTTATTCAAAATTAACTGGTAATTCAAAGACTGGTAATAAAAATTCCGGTATCACTATCGGCAATGTTGGTGGTACTTCTATGCTGAAATCATCATCACCATTTCATCAAACCGTCAATGGCCATCATCCTAATTATTCAATGCTTAAACATCCGAATAATTTTGTAGGCAATCTTCAACAATTTAATCAGACTAAATTGCAAACAGAAATGCAACAGAATCCTAAAGTTTTCATGATCTCTGGCGGTAATAATAATGAAAATGAAAATTCAAACAAAAACAGTCATTCATCCGATCAGCCAATCTCTCTGATCAACAAACAACAACAACCTAGTGCCTTTCATAATCATTCACCATCCATTGTTGATAATCATAATAAAAGTGGCGATAGTCCAACTAATGTCATAAACTCGATGGTTAAACAAATATCAAACGCACAAAATTTGATCAAATCATCGAATAATTTAGCTGATGTGAAATCAGATGATTCATCTGATACAATTCATCATCAAAATTATGGTGATAATTCTCAGCATGATGATGATCCATCATCATCTATTGAACCACCATCTCAACCTCAGATCAAATCCGAACAGAATAGCGATGATGATGATGATGATGTTGATGAACAAGAATTGACAATCAGCGATGAACAATCTGGAGAAATTGCATCATCACATCTTGACAATAACAACGGTCATTCCAATGATGATAATAGTGATAATGTAAGTTTTTAAAATATATTCCGAATTAATTTAGCATTAATGAAATTATTGTTGTTTTTTTCTGAACAGAATCATCAAAATCTTACTGCGTTAGCGCCGTTTCAACGGTTATTTGAATTGTCAGCAATGAATGCCAACAATCCTGTTGCTGCCCAAACACAAACAGCTTTGATGTCAGCAATTCTTCAATCCGGATCGTTTCCATTAGATCCCACCTCTTTACAATCAATGTTCTGTAATCCAGCTTTAGCAGCCATGTTACAAGCATTTAATTTGAATGGATTATTGAATCAAACGAACCAATCGAATGGTGATACAAATGTGAATATTGTAGGCAATAAAAATGGTGAAAGTGATGATTGTTCTTCATCGAATGGTCATAAATCACCGACCGATCATACACAACATGAATGTGCTAATTGTGGTGCATTGGGCAGTATGACTCAATTGAAACGTTATGGATCATTATCTCATTATCTTTGTGGTCGATGTGCTAATCAAAGAAAATCTTCCGATTCAACAAACAGTTCTCATTCAGGGCGAAAGGTTAGTCTCAATCATATTCTAATTAAAAATTAATCTTTTTTTATCCATTCTTTTCAGCAGTCGAAACCTCGCGATGTTCAATGCACTAATTGTGGTGTTACACAATCTAGTGAATGGCGGCGAAATGTTCGTGGTGAGATTGTTTGTAATGCTTGTGGCCTTTATTATAAACTACATAATCGTGATCGACCGATACATATGCGTAGAGATTTTATTGCCCACCGTAAACGTACACCAAATGTAAGTTTTTTAAACTATTCATTACCTATCATTCAATACTGATTCTTGATTGATTTGAATCTTATATAATAGCATAATTTCAAAAATAAAAAAGCCGAAAATGAATCTAGCCAACAAAATCAAAATATTTCAGATATGAAAACGAGTGATGGTAAAGAATCTAATGATTTAATTTCGGCAAACACTATTCGAATAATGACCGATGGACAGTCAAAAATGTCTTCGTTTTTGGCAAATTCCACAATCGACAATGATGATGACCAACAGCTTACACCATCAAACCAAAATGAAATGAGTGACTATTATTCTGAAACTGAAAATACCAATGATAATGATTCTCAATCATCGGAAACGAATCAATGTTCATCGAAACGTATCCGTTCAGATGATGATTTTGATGAATCAATGTCAGCCAATTCTCCTTGTGCAAGTGTAGCATCAACATCTTCAATTGAAACTGAAAATACTACAAGCTCTGGTCATAGCACAAAGAAACGAAAACAAAGCAATCCTAAAAAATATGTTAAAGAAAATATGACATGTTTAGCTGATCAGCTACAATCGGCTGACCAAATAAATGACAATTCTCAGCCTGATTTTATTTCTCAAACGGATGAAAAATAAAATTCTAATGTTTCATTTCCAAAACCAGTGACCACAATGATCTACCTGAATTGTTTTCAATATAATAAAAATCATTTAGTATAATTTTTTGATTATATTACTGAAAATAATCACATAAACACACACACACACACACACGATCCCACTCATTACTCATGAAACCTCAATGAGAGAACGAAGAAAAGTTTACTTATTATTAAGCATAAAATTTGATAATTACAATCAAAATGATTCTCATTATCAGCTGGCAAATATCATTTTTCATTTCTTATTAAATTTGATCAATCGTCAATCATGTGTAAATCTGTTTGGACAATGTAAATGTTTTTTTTTTTTTTTTTTTTGGTAGAATGACGAATTTTTTTGAATTGTTTTTTTTCCGAAATTATTTTTCTCTTTGATGTTCATATTAACATAGAAAACTTACACATACACTCACACCAACCCACCATCTTTTTTTCATTTTATTTGTTCTTGTTCACAGTGATCATATTTTAAGCAAATTTTTTCTCTTTATAAATTGTGATTCTTGTCAATTATTATTTCATCCATATTTTGATCGAAGATATATGAATGAAAAAAGTTTAATGATTATTTCTTTTTATTTTATTGCATCCATCATCGAATTCATTCATTGATCCATCACGCGAGGACAAGAATGATTTAAAATAACGATTCAATACGACTATCATGAATAAAACTTCATTTAAAAAAAAAATATTGTCAATGAAAGAATATTTTGTTAAATTCTTTGATTTGTATTGCTTTACAATAAACAAACAAACAAAGAAAAAACATTTACAGAATTTAATTATTTGTACTGCATCCTTATTATTTGTGTATCTTATATATGTGTAAATCATTTATTTTATTCATCAATAAAATGAAGCTATTATTTGATATTTAATCAAAAGTTCATTCGGAGTATTTTCTAATTATAAAACCAAAAAAAAAAAAAAAAATTATTATTATTATTATTAAAGTTGAATACCACCGGTTCCTGGCACTGGTGGTAATGGTCGTTTCATGGATGTCGATGATGAACCAGTTACGGATGATCCAGTTGAATTTGTAGATGTACCACCACCAGTATTTCGTTGTTCGCCTCCAGAAGTGGTTGATGATGAAGCAGCCGAATTGAGATCATTATTTGAATGTGTCTCAGACATTGTTCCACGATAAGCATTCATTTGGCTACTAAATGTCGATGAAGCTGGTATCAATGGCATTTCTGTATATTGTGATGAGGATGCAGATGTATTTCGTTGCCCAATGATTTCTAAGCCATTGGAATTGGGAATCGAATTATGCATGAATGAACTGAATAAGGTGACATCATTTTCATTATGACCAATGATGCTACTCAGATCAGTCTCATTGGTGAGCATCGTTGTCTCATGATTGTTACTAACATAGTGATTCATCATGGATGGCCTGGATGAAACAGTATTTCCATATTTATAATAGTTAATTGCTGATGGTGCTGCTCCATTGGTACGTGTTTTTTTCATTGGTCTTCCACCAGTAGGAAAAAATCCATGACGATGATGATTTCCAGAAGGATGATAAGGAGGATATTGTTGATTTGACAATAATGGTGTTGAAATTTGATTTGAAGCTGCCGCAGCATTTATAGCTGCTGAACGTTGAGCTGCCAAACGTCGTAATGATCGTGAGTTATATCCACCTGATTGAATGAATGGCTGAGATGATGCTGATAAATAGGCTGCATTATCATATGTGGAAGAATCTGAAAGCAAATTCGATGACAATGCATGATGTCTTTGGTCCAAATGATGTCGATGCCGATGACCGATTCCTTCAGGTACTTCAGTGTAGGTATTTGATGATGAATATCCTCCACCTCCATAAGTAGGAGTTCCAAATGATGAACGTATCAAAGGACCAATCATAGGTTGATTAGTAGCACAACCAGCAACAGCTGGATCTAATTCAGCGTAAACAGGACTTGAAGTACAACTTGCTGCATCGCTATAAGGATGGTCAGATATTCCAGTGGAAGAACCTCCCAAAGAACGTAATCCTCGACGATCATCCATAAATAATACATTGCCGGAAACATTATTTGGAACACGTTTCCAATATTTTCCAGTAGTAGATATTGTCGATTTTTTGCCCAAAGAAGCTAATGAAGCATCCATTATGATTGATTGTGGTGATTTTTCATTGACAACCGGTGATAGACATGTATCTGATGGTGAAGTAGATGAGGATGATGACGATTTATGATGTCCAATCACTCCATTCGAAGAAGACCATACCGGGCATGCATAATTAGAGAAAATTCTAAATCTGAAATAAGAATACTTAATATCCAAACTATCATTGTTCATTTTTTTCACTTACTTTTTATATCTAATCAATAGGCAAATTATGCAAAGGATTACAAATACTAAAGAGAATATTAGAGCATAAAACAAAGAGATGAATGTTTCATTGCTTTTTGATGATGAAGATGATGATGGATACATTGAACCAATACCATCATCATCTTGATACACTTTGGGATCGGAAAACAATTTACAAAAATTACATCGTACACCTTCGATCGGATCTTCTCCAATGATGAATTCTCGCATTGTTTCATTTTCCATTGAGCTAAAAAATGCTTGCAATGCTGCTGGCATTGGTGGTGGCGGTATGAATAGAATATCATCGGGTGGTGGTTCTAACCAGAATCCTGTATCGCGTTTCTCTTCACCATAACCAATTATTATATCATCATAGTAATTATTGTATGGATTTGGTTGTAATTCACACCAAATTTCTTGACAATTTGAATGATTCATCATTGATAATGAATGATCTAATTCGAACAAATCATTGGAAGAGGTTTCATCAATCAAAGTGGTCGTATGAAATGGTAGATCATTGAATGGATAGTTTGATTGGAAAGCCATTGTAAACGTAGTCATGAGGAGGGTTCCAAACAAAAACAATAATAAAGTTATTAATACTTTTGCCATTGTTGTTTATCTAACAATAAGATATATCAAATAAAAATTAAATTATTTTTCTGGCAGATCTTCATCACTTTGGACCGATCCCCAGTGTGTGGCCACTGCTGATGTTTAACAAAAACAACAACAATAACAGCGAAAATTGCTCAAGAGGGAGGAAAAGAAGAAAAAATTCAAATACTTTGACTGCCATCTTTGAGAAAAAATTTGAACCAATTATTTTTACTGATTTTAAAATGATTTCATCATTTATTTTCATTTTCACTTTTAAATTAATAAAATAGTATTGCAAAATTTCATCATCTTTTAATCGGTTTTATATACTTTGGAGGGATAATATGTGGACACATTAGGTAGCCATTTTTCGAACGAAAAAGTTCAATTTCTTCATTGATAGGACCGATTTCAAGCAATGTGTTACGTTTTCCATCATATTTAACAGAATTTTTCTGTTCATATAAATGTACAAATTGTCGAGCCATAGGTTTTAAACCTTCATTCAAAATATTTTCGACTAGATGTGAATTAGTAACATGATAAATATATCTAGACGACGATGATTTATCATTGGAAGCCAAAGGTTCGAAAATATTAGCACGTAAACGAAATGAATGTCCATTCAATGCTCGAATATATAATTTAAGGTTTTTGGTGGCTTCAACAATTGGCCGATATTCATATTCGAACCGTTTTTTAGTGGTCGGATCTTCAATAATTTCAATCATTTGTTGTTCGTTGATTAGTTCATGTTTATCATTCCAAATTATTCGATTCAAATCATCTAAACTGATAAAACCATGATCATCAACAATATTTTCGATTCGGTTATCATGACGAAGAAGATAGGAAATGTATTTGGAATTAATTGGCATAATTATTATAAAAAAAAGAATCATTTGAAATTTAATAACATGATGATGAAAAAATAACAAAACAGTCCAAAATAAAAAAAAATATCTTTTTCAATCGCCATCTAGTGAGGAACAGATGAAACTAAATAAAAATCAAGTTTACAATTTTTTTTTATGATTTTCATTCATATTCACAAAACATTTGGAGTTGAGAAAAAATGTCCATATGGTCATCTTATTAACGATGAAAAGTTTTTAAAACTTATTTGTAACTCTATCAACAATCAAATGCCTATAATAATTATAAATGAACCATGGTTAATTTAGCTTGACAGCAACAACAACAACAACAACAACAACAACAAGTGTAAACAAAATAGTCTTTGGACCTCCATCAGAAAAGAAATGTTGATTCAATCGATATGGTTCGTTTATAAATTGTATTTGAATTTCAAAAAAAAAAAAAAAAAAAATTATCATCAAATGCAAAATGACCAAATGTGTTTGGTATGGTCGTAGCAACAAACAAACCAAAAAAACGGCTAAAAACAAGAGAAACAAAATCTTTTCTTTCATCCACAATTATAAATGGACTGCTTTCACAATAAAAGAGGCTGAATATAAGTAAAAAACAGATTTTCTTTGATTTGAAAATTTTTTCTCTTTACTGAATCTCATTTCATCATCTACCCACGCGATCAATTACTTTATATGGACACATAGACAACAACATCAGACCACCACCTTGTTTCCATTTACAGTAAAAAAGAAGAAAATATGAACCTGAATTTTTTTTTTTGGATTCTATTTCATTTTCTATATGGATAATCATCATCATCATCATCGTTGTATTTGTGTCATTGTGAATTTTTTTTCAACGAAAATCTTGAAACAAACATTGCAACAATCAAAAAAAAAAAAAAATAAGGTAAGAATTTTTTTAACCAAAATTTTTTCTGATTTCGGTCATTGAATTCTTTCGTTTTTTTGCATTCATAAACATCAGTTTTTTTTTGTTTATAAAACAATTTTTTTTTGGGAAAAATAACAATGTTTATAGATGAATGATGAAAGAATAAATAACCAAAATTCTTTGACCAAAAACAATCATTTGCCGACATGATGATGAATAATCATATATAATTCTTGAGAATTTTTTTCTATCATCCAATACATTGTTCTTGTGGTTTTAGTTTATATTTCCATATATAATGTATACACATACAATGATAATATATCAACTGGTGATTTTTCATTTATTTTCTTTCTATTACGAAATAGATTCTACATAAAATCAGAAAAGTTCTACAATATTTACATTTAAGTTTTGTTTTGCTGTTGGGACCAAGTTAATCGACAGTATTCATATAGACCAAGAAAAAAAAAATCTGGCATCTGTTTTCTGTCCATTTTCGATGCATAAACAATTTTGAATGGTCATCATCATCATCATTTTTTTTCTCGTTAAACAAAACCTAATGATCATTGCTAATTTTTCCATTCATTAATGTGGTGAAAAAAAATATTATAATCATCGATGATAAAATCAACCTTATATTGGTCAATTCTAATATTGGCCACAATCATTATTGGACATCATCATTTGTGGCTGGTATCATCAATATCCATTGGTGATACACATGAATGGCGTCGTATTGTAACACATCATGATACATATTCATCACCACATCAATATTCACGTTATCATCGATTTGAAAATGATATTGATAATGAAATAGAATATATAGGATCATCATCATCATCAGAATCAAATCGACGATCACCCGGTAATACTACAACAACAACGGCTAAAGGTAAATTTATTTATTCATTTATTTTTTCACCATCCCATTTATGGATCATCACATCAGGATTTGTGTGTGTGTGTGTAGGAGTTTTTGAAAACAATTTTACACAATTTCTAAAAAAAAGAGAGAGAAAGATTAGCCTCGAAAAGAAAAGAAAAAAATTTCTTGTTTACACAGATTATTGGCACTGATTTTGTGTGTTTTGTTTTTGTTTTTCCATCACAATCAATCAATAACATTCGGGAATTGAATTGAATCGTAGAATTTATTATCATCAAAATTTTTTTTTTTTGATTAAAAAATTTTCTCGAATGCTTTGATCAAACCATCTTGTTTGTGTGTGTGTGTGTGTATTTATAATAAATCATTAAAACTATCAAATTCTGCTTTGGTTGGCATTTTTTTTTCTCTTCAATATGTTTATATTGAAACAAGAACATCTAAACAAGAAGCCTGTATTTATAATAAATCATTAAAACTATCAAATTCTGCTTTGGTTGGCATTTTTTTTCTCTTCAATATGTTTATATTGAAACAAGAACATCTAAACAAGAAGCCAAAAAAAAAAAAATTCAAAAAATATAAATGTTACATTTATATATTTTGAACACGACAATATTCGGTTAGTGATTTATTTTTTTTTTTATTTTTTTTTTTTTTTGCTTATAAAAATCAATTTTTCTGATTGATATATAACCGACAAGCATTGAGATCGAACAAGACATCCGAAACACACACACACACACACAACACAGTAGATATGTAACAAACAAACCGACTACAACTACTATAGTAATTTGTTAAGAACGATTGATAAACTATAAAATCAAATCAAATCAAATCAATTTTTTCTTGTGGTTGGTTGAGAAAAAAAAATATCAATGAATGATTACACTACAGACTAACCTAAATTCATTCAGTCATCATTATCACTGGCCGGTATAATGCATCATTACCGTCAAATTTGTATGGCCACTATCATCATAATTTTATTATTATTAAAATTATCACTGTTATTTCCCAATGTTTATATGAAACCATCATCACAAGAAAAAAATTTTCGTTATTATTATGATCCAATAAATCCATATATAATCTACGATATTAATGATCATCATCATTTTGGAATCTATAATAGATATATTCCATATGATTATGATCTACCTGAATATATAGGTTAATATACATGTTGTTTTTCAAAACAAAAAAAAAAAAAATTTGTTTTCATTTCTTCTCATTCATATAGAACATGTGAAAGGATTATATCCAAACATCATAAATTTAGCCGTTGATGCTATTATTTCGGTGAATGCTACATGTGGTGAAACTGGGCCCGAATATTATTGTCGCTTGGTATCACATAAGTAAATCATGTTTTTTTTTTCTTTTGCTTTTAGAATTTAATTTTAATTATTAATTTTTTTTCATTCATTCAAATAAATAAAAGCATTAATACTAGCGATTGTAATGTTTGTGATGCATCTAATCCGGATTATTCAAAACGACATCCAATAAAAAATGTAATTGATGGTACAGAAAATTGGTGGCAAAGTCCTAGTTTAAAGAATGGAAAACGTTATGAATGGGTTACCATTAACATTAATTTACGACAACTATATGAAATTGCCTATGTTATTATTAAATCGGCCATTTCTCCATTACCATCAAATTGGATACTTGAAAAATCAATCGATGGAATCAATTATTATCCGTGGCAATATTTTGCTCAAACTGATACTGAATGTTGGGAACGATATCGTGTTCGACCATCTATTGGAAAATTACGTTATAGAACTGATGATGAAGTTATTTGTACATCGATGTATTCGAAAAATAATGTCGTCGGACATGAAGAGGTAATTTGATCAATGATAAATGTTTTTTTTATTTATTTATTTATCACTATTCATATTACATTTTTAGATTGATGTTTCATTAATAAATGGAAGACCTGGAGCGGAAACAGCTGATGGAATCAGTCCAACATTGAGAGAATTTATCAAAGCACAACATATTCGAATTCGAATGCAAAAAATTCGAACATTAAAAGGAAGCTTGTTCTATGATGCTAATGATATTGATAAAAGTGATAGCACACTAACTAATCGGGTATGTAATGTATATAATCAAAAAGTAGATAATTTTTTTTTCTCATGTTTATATTTATTTAGCTTTTTTATTCAATCAAAGACATATCGATCGGTGGTATGTGTACATGTAATGGACATGCTGATGAATGTCAGGCGCCAGATTTATCAGTAACAACAACCATACCAAATAGAGGAGGATTGATTAGCCATCCATTACCTAAATGTAATTGCCAACATAATACATGTGGCCGTTCCTGTGAATCATGTTGTCCAATGTTTAATCAGAAAAAATGGCGTCCAGGTACTAAACGTGATGGTTCTCCATGTGAAGAATGTCAATGCCATGGACATTCTGATGAATGTTATTATGATCAAACGATTGCGGATAAAAAATTAAGCATCAACAAAGAAGGAAACTACGAAGGTGGTGGTGTTTGTGTTCGATGTAAGCATCATACGACTGGCATCAATTGTGAGCAATGTGTGGATGGGTATTTTAGACCAGAAGATGTTGAAATCGATAATGAACGACCATGTCTACGCTGTCAATGTAATGGACCTGGAATGAATAAACTTTGTGTTAAAGATGATAGTCATTTGATCGAAGGTCGTCATCCGGGCGATTGTCTTTGTCGTGAAGGATTCGAAGGTTCACGTTGCGATCGCTGTTCGAAAGGTTATCGAAATTATCCTCGTTGTGAAGAATGTTCTTGTGTTTATGCTGGCATAAAAAACTCTAATGTTTGCGACGGTAACTGTATCTGCAAGACGAATGTCTTTGGTAAAAGATGCAACAAGTGCCAAGAAGGATTTTATAATTTGGCCGCTGATAATCCGGAAGGCTGTTCGCAATGTTATTGTTTTGGAGCAACAAACGTATGCAAACCAAGTGATTGGGGTATTGAAGTTATCAAAAGTTCAGAACGATGGCGTGTTACCGATATTCCTGGATCATTCAAATTGGAACCAGTGGTTGAAGATGGCCATTATGAGATTGCTGATGATTATATTCCTGATCGAGCACAAAATCTTTATTTCTGGGAAGCACCACCAGAATATCTTGGTCAAAATCTGTACACATATGGCAATGCTTTGAAATACATTGTCAGATATGTAATCGTTCGTGGTGATACTTCAGGCGTTTATACCGATGAACCTGATGTAATTCTTGAAGGTGGACCAGATAGTTCTCGTTATGGTTTTCGATGGCATAAACGACCAGAAGATTCGGATGAAGATGAACTAAATTCTACTATTATATTGCCATTACGTGAACAGAATTGGTTTCGTGTTGATGATAATGGACGAGAAATTCCAGATTCACAGCCATCACGTCAAGATTTTGCACTACTTTTACATGATTTAAAACGTTTGCTTATACGAGCCAAATATCATACTGATCAAGTATCCGGAGGACTATATCAAACTGATTTGGAAAAAGCATCAAATTCATCGGCCAGCATTAAAAAAGCTGTCGGTACGGAACAATGCGATTGTCCACCAGGATATGGTGGTCTTTCATGCGAGTATTGTGAAACCGGATATAGACGTGTCAACAATGTTCTGGTGAATGGAGTATGTGAGAAATGTAACTGTAATAATCATGCGGAATCATGTGACCCATTTACGGGAGTATGTTCCGAATGTCTTCATAATACGGTTGGTCCAACTTGTGGTGAATGCAGACCAGGTTTTTATGGCGACGCTACTCGTGGCCAAGAAGATGACTGCAAAGCATGTGCTTGTCCATTGTTGATTCCAACAAATAATTTTTCGCCAACATGTCGACTAGAATCATCAGCAAAATATGGTTATATTTGTCTTGAATGCCCAGAAGGTTATACAGGGGAACGATGTGAAATTTGTTCCAATGGTTTTTATGGTAATCCGTTGATTCCTGGTGGATTCTGTGCCCCCTGTGAGTGTGGCCCAAACGCTAATACCACCGTTGAAGGATATTGTGATCGTTTGACTGGTCAATGTAAATATTGTTTGGAAAATTTCGGTGGCTGGAAATGCGATGAATGTCTGCCAGATCATTGGGGAAATGCCGCTATCGGAGATTGTAAAGCATGCAATTGTGATGTACAAGGATCCGTTAATACACAATGCAATTCCACAACTGGTCAGTGTGAATGCAAGCCTAATTATACCGGCGTTCGCTGTGACCATTGTGCACCTGGTTATGGTAACATCGAATTGGGTTGTGTTCCATGTAACTGCAATATGACCGGATCGATGGATCAATTTTGTGATGAAACTACCGGACAATGCCATTGTAAGCCGGGGGTATTTGGTCAGCATTGTGACAAATGTTTAGAAGGTCATTTTGGTTTCTCCAACAATGGTTGTGAATGGTGTAACTGTAACAAACTTGGATCTGAAGGACCAGATTGTGATGAATTTTCAGGTAAATTATTGTAACAAATAATTTTCGGTTGAAAATTAATTTCAAACATTTTTATTTCTGAAATAGGTCAATGTATTTGTAAACCATTTGTTTTTGGGCGAGACTGTAGCCGTTGTGAACCTGGATTCTGGAATTTAGCATCAAATAAAGGATGTGAACCATGCAATTGTAATTATTTGTTGTAATTTGAATTTCTAAAAAATTATTCCGTTTTTTTCGATAGGCAACATAACAGGTTCATATAGCAATGTTTGCAATGAAATGACTGGCCAATGTGAGTGTAAGAATGGAGTTGGTGGCCTTCATTGTGACCAGTGTTTACCTGGTTATTATGGATTTGGACCAAATGGATGTTTAGCTTGTGAACCATGTACAGCACCTGGTCATATTTGTGATCCCAAAAGCGGAAAATGTGTTTGTCCACCTAATACGGCAGGACCAACTTGTAATGATTGTGCACCTGGAACTTGGGGTTTTGATGTTCTTACCGGTTGTCAAACTTGCGATTGCAATCTTCAAGGATCAGTAAACAATGAATGTAACCACAAAACCGGTGAATGTGTCTGTTTGGATGGTTTCGAAGGAAAGCATTGTGAAAAATGCAAATTTGGTTATTATCGTTTCCCTAATTGTCGTCGTTGCGATTGCCATGAACCAGGAACTGATCCATCATCATGTCGTGAAGATGGACTATGCCAATGTGACGAAAGTGGTCAATGCCCTTGCAAACAAAATGTAGCCGGAAGAAGATGTGACGTATGCAAAGAAGGTACTTTTGGTCTTGCTGCTGATAATCCGTTAGGATGTTTTCAATGTTTTTGTTTCGGAAAATCTGGACAATGTGACCAATCCAAAATGGTGTGGAGTGAACATAATTATCCACAACGTGAAGCTTATTTTGTCATTGGTTCGACCGAAATTCGTTCCGTACTTGGTTTCAAAACTATACCATCGGATACATCTTCGGTTGGTGTGAAGAATTTTGGTGAATTACAACAATCATTTTATTGGTCAATGCCACCAGAAATGTTGAATGATCAGGTGGCCACTTATAATGGTTTCATACGATTCCGAACCTATGGGAGAGGTGGTGGAAAACTGAATGAAATGTTACGAAAACGTTATCCATTGGTTGTGCTTCAGGGTAATCATCGAATCATTCTTTATCATTATGGACCCGAACAATTATCACCCACTGGTTTATATCGTGTTCGTCTCCATGAAACGGAATGGACTTTGGCCGATAATCCAGAATATCCTGTTACACGCGATGTTCTTATGGTAGCCTTGCAAAAAGTTCAACATATTTTGATTCGAGCTAGTGATCTAACTGAAGCAAATTTCGTACGTATAAGCGATGTTTCCGTTGATTTAGCTACACTTGGTGGATTCTCATCAAAATTAGCTGCTGGCGTCGAACAATGTCTTTGTCCACCACAATACACTGAAGCATCATGTCAAGATCCAAATATTGGTTATTGTCGAAAACGTAAACAAAACTATCTGGATTCCAAAGATATTCTTGATTTAGTTGGATGGGCTGAACCATGTAATTGTCATAATTATAGCCGAATTTGTGATAAAGAAACTTGTGAGTGTTTAAATTGTGAATCATTCACAGCTGGACCATATTGCAATCTTTGTCTTCATGGCTTTTATGGTGATCCAACACGTGCCATCCCATGTCGTAAATGTGCTTGTCCAACATTAATTAATTCTTTCAGTGAAACTTGTGAATTGCTACCCGGATCGAATTCTGAATATTTTTGTACAGATTGTCAAGTTGGTTACATCGGAAGGCATTGTGAAGAATGTGCCGATGGTTTTTGGGGCGATCCCATGGCACCTGATGGCAAATGCGTGCCATGTAATTGCTCACCAATCGGATCATTGAGCAACATTTGCGATAAACGAAGTGGTCAATGTCCCTGCAAAGAAGGTATAACCGGGCATGATTGCGGAAATTGTCCACCAAGACATGTTGTCACCGATACTGGATGTCTTAATTGCGATGATGATTGTACGGGAACATTATTAGATGATATCGAATTTTTACAATCAATTCTACAGGAAGCCAATCTGACAGATGTAGAAAATCTTCCCTGGACTCGTTTGATGTATTTGACCAAAAAATATAACATTACCAATTCAAGAATGAATCAATTCAAAGAAAGGGTGATGAATGGTAAAAAAATGGTTCGAGATTTTACTGTTGATTTTGATCTGGAAACATTGGCCAATCTGCTGAATTTACAAGCAAGAGATCTTGCACGAAAAGCTCCTTATGAAGCTGAAAAAGCTCGAGATACTGTGAATAGAGCTCAAGATATTAAAGATAGAATCAGTGATCTTTGGGAAAAAATACAGAACATCATCAATCAATTGAAACGTCATCTGGTAGATTCCACTGATCCATATGGATCAGCAGCTGATCGTATGTATGAAGAAGCTGTAAGAATTCTGCAAGAATTACGTATGACAGATTTTTCACCGGATAATCGAAAAGGAGACATTGAACTTAAAAAAGCTCAATATTTACTCGAACGTGTTCTACAGATGTTGACTGAACGTGGTGATACACAGCCAATGCAAGATCGTATTAGTAAACTATTACGATTACTTAATGAGATATATGAAATGATCAATCGAAAAGTATATCCGGAAACTAGAGAAGCTCAACGTATCGTCAATTCAATACGGCCATTATTGCAGGCCATTTTCGATGCACGAGATAGCGCCGTACAGAATGGTGATGCAGCACGTATTGCATTGAATGAAGCACGAGAATTATTGGATCTGATACATCGTGAATTGTTTGATACAAAAATCAAATTCAATGATCTGGCCGATTTAATTGGACAAATGAATGAATTAACCGATGAAATTGAGAAAAGAAGAAGTATTCTGGCCAGATTGAATCCAGAATATGAAGAAAAATATGTCAAACCATGTGAAGATCATGCAGCCGAACTAATGCGTCGTGTAAATGAACTGGGTCGATTATTCAATCAGACCAGAGATGTTGCTGGATCACCAATGCAAGCTGCAAATGTTTACGAAAATATTGTGAAAGCTTTGACCGAAGCCGAAGAGGCTGTAGCCAATGCACGAGCAGCTGCCGAAAAAGCTTTCTTCGAAGCCAATCCAGATGGTGATGATTCTTTATTACAACAAGCTATTCAGGCACGAAAACGAAGTGAAGAATTGCTCAAGGAAGCCGATGATCTTAATAAACGTCTTCGTGATTTTCAATATGAGATTGCCCAAAAACAACGAATGCTGGCCGAAATCGAAGCTATGATTGATGCTGCTCGACAGGATCTAGATTGGATCAACAAAAGTCTTGATCAATTACCACGTGGACTGGGCAATGAAGTTCGAGTCATCAATGATCGTCTACAATCATTATTAGACAATCTGGCCAACAGTCATAAACGTTTAGATGAAATGATGACACGAATCTATACACTGGAACAGGATTTGGAAAAATTAAGTTCAGGACCAAAAGCAGATTTGGATGATATTAAACGAGATATTACACAATCATTGAATCTATTGAAACGATTGAAAGAAGAGATTGTTAAAATCGAATCCAAAGGACCTGGTCTTCAACGACATCAACAACAATTCGATTTAAATTTGGATGAATTGAAAGCTAAGATTAAATTAGCAAGACAAAAAGCTGCTAGTATTCGTGTGTCATTGGGTGCCGATCGTGAAGGTGTCTGTATTCGAACATATGAACCAGATATTGAGCCATCATTCACGAATAATATTGTCATGTATTATGCCATTAAACATGAACATATCCGTGACAGTTTACTAATGTATCTTGGTGCACGTGAAAGTCAAGGCTATAATAATGATTTTATGGCATTAGAAATGGTTGATAGAAAAATACGATTTATTTGGAGCACTGGAAATAATGAAAGAATGATAACTCATCCACAGAATATATTAACTAATGATAATTCGTTAAGTAAAGATTCACATTGGTATAAGATAGAAGTGAAAAGATATGGTTCTACGGCAAATCTTTCCGTCATTTCGGTACCGGTAAGTCAAGTAAATTAACATTAATTATTTAACTTGAATCATGAATATTAATCTATTTTCTTCTATTACAGGGAGCAAGATTCCCAGATCCATTTGAAATGAGTGGTTCATCAAGTTCCGAATCGAAACAAATGAATTTAGATCGTAATTCATATTTTTACATTGGTGGTTTACCATCGGAAATGCCACATATTCCAAGACAATTACAATCACGATCTTTTGGTGGTTGTCTATTTGAATTGTATCTTGACGGTAAACGTGTTGGTTTATGGAATTTCACAAGTAATATCGGTTGTGATGGCTGTATGGAGGGAGCAACCGAACCGATTGGTAATTGAAAAATCTAAAATTACAATTGATAAATCCTTCTAAACTGAAATTTCATAATTGACAGATCCGAACATGTACACATTTTTCGACGAATTCGCTTATGGCAAGACCAGGCAAATTTCCAACTATAATCGAGATCGATATCTGGTTTCAATGCATTTCCGTACATTTGATGAAAATGCTTTGTTGTTTTTCACATCGAATCCTCGAACTCGTGATTATGTTGCAATCTATTTAAAAGATGGTCATGTTCATTATGAATGTCATTTTGGTTCGGGTCCAGGACGACCAGGCCTATTACAATCGATTGTTACTGAGGAGAAACTCAACACCGGAAATTGGGTCAATCTACGAGCCGAACGGGAGAAAGATGAGGCTGTCCTAGAATTCATAATGGATTCACAGAAAAGAAATTATGAAAAAACATTGCAATCAAGCGGAAGATCCATTGATTTAGATCTTATTGGATCAGACGTTTATTTTGGTGGTGTAACACCAAACTTTACGCTAATCAGCAATTTAGAATATCCAAATGTTATATTTAAATCATTCGTTGGCTGTATGAATTCACCACAAATTGAAGCCATACCTATTAATTTCCAACGAATTCAATCATTCGGTATCGAACCTGGTTGTATGGAGAAACCGATTCGAGTGGCAAGTTTCTTTGGTGATGGATATCTTGAATTGGATGGTCAACCATTAACTGATCATACGGAATTTAGTTTTACATTTAAGACGCCTAGACCTCATGGCGTTCTATTATTATCCACCTTCGAAGGATTACCAAGAAGTTACGATAGAAAAGATGATGTAAGTCTATTCATTTACAACAAGATTTTTGGTTCAAAAAGAATTTTTTCCCATTTTTCACAGCATTACTACTTTTTCTACATTTATAATGGAACTCTTGAAGTACGATTGAATGGTGGCGGTGGTGTTAGCAGCTATCGTTTCGATAATATCAATGTTTCCGATGGTAAATATCATACGGTTACTTGTATCAAAGATATGCGTAGATTCCGTATTCTTATCGATGATGAACACGAAAGTACACAGCTACGTTTAGCTAAATCACGTGTGATTGAAGCACCAAAAAAAGGTGGTCTTTTCATCGGTGGTACCCGTAAGTATATTATTGCTTTGGTTCAATTTTATTGAATTAAAATGATCATCATTGTTTTGTTTTAGCGCCTGGCTTTACCGTCATCAATAAAGGTTATGCATCGAATTTTTACGGTGTTATCCGAGATATTGTGTTCAATTCAAAATTGATCTCGTTCAATAATCCTGCCAGTTTCCGGGGTGTTGGCATTGGCCATGAAGGCAGTTTTGAGATCATACATACACCATCACCACCACCACTAGAACCATATGATGATCTTCAACAATCAACATGGCGACAGGCAAGCCGTATTCGAGCTCCAATGCTTTAATTGAGATGATGAAATTGCATAATTAAAACAAAGAATAACCATTTTTTCCCGAAATTATTATTATATGAACAAAATTTCTAATCGATTTTCATTATTCAATCGATATTTTTACTAATTTTTTTTTGTCTTTGAATAAACATTTTCATTTTCTTCTCCATGATGAATGATTAACAATTTCATATTTTATTTTTGAATTTCAACTCAAGATGGCAGCATAAACAAAAGGAAATGATTTATGCCATTTATGTTGTTCACGATTCTGAATATGAAATGAATTTTGTGTGTTGTTGTTTTTGTTTCAAAATTTATTTATATATAAAGTAACGTTCGTGCAACGGTTGAGAAGAAGAACTTTATTAGTCAACTAATCAAAGGTTAAACAACAAGCGAGTGTCCAGTGTTTGTGTCATGACCTTATATACATGTTGTGTCCTTTGTGTGTGTGTGTGTGACATTAGTAGTAGTGGTGGTGTTGTGTGTGTGTAGTGTGAGTGGGTCCTTTGTGTGTGTGTGTGTGTGACATTAGTAGTAGTGGTGGTGTTGTGTAGTGTGAGTGGTACGTGTGTGTGTGGGAGTGCCGCCTATTTTATAATATAATATGATAATATGATGTTTCCGTTTTTTTTTGTTTGACCAAAAATTTTTTTGGACATAGGATTACAAGAATTTATTAATGTTTTATATGTGACGTTGTTTACAAATAAAATTAAATTTTTTTTAAACAGAATTTTAAGGACAAAAAGTTGTAATGACACGAATCGATGCATAAAAAGGTTTCGAGAACGAACGTAATTCACCGAAATATTGATGTACGAAAAGAAAAAAAAAACATAAGACGAAAAAATAACAGATTTTTTATAAAAAACAAAGGCTTTATTAACGAGATGATTTTTCTCGATCAAAAACAAAAAACTAAACAAAAGTGAGAAATTTATATGCAACAGAAAAAACCAAAAAACGTTTTCTGATGACACACAGGCCAAAAACATGAACACACGCGCAGTCGTAGTTTAACAAAAAGTAATAAAAATAAGAAAGATAATTTCAAAGTGATGACAATTTATTTATTTGAATGAAAGAATGATAAATTGGAGGTTGATGAATTTTTTTTGATGAACCTGCGTGTGTGTGTGTGTTATGTGATTTTGTAAATGAATTCTCAAATCATTTCAGATGGTGATTAAAGACAGAAATATTAGATAAGAGCATAGCTAAAAGCTTTGAATTGGATCGCATAAGGATTATTCTGTGCCAGAAAATCATGAATTTGAACCAACAAAGTTCTTTCAAGATCAGAATTAGCTGGATGCTCTAATCGACGTTCTGCAGCCTCCTTCGGCCATATCTGAGCTAAACCCGATCTTCAGGGTGGAGGTTCATCATGACGCATTCCAATTGAGGCAAAACTCAAGGAAGCATTGTAGTTGATTATGTGTTTTTTGAAATAACCATAATTTGGATTTTCACGATTTGTGAGTAAATCCTTCAAGAAATCCGGATAACCAACGAATCGTTGCGGTTTGCCGTTGTGGCAGCAATCGTTTGATGTTTCGCACGGGAAAAGATAAGCATTGCATCTGCTGCATTGTTTATTCCTTTTGTTTTTTTTGAAGTCGTCGTCGGGTCACTTCCGGGCTTTCTCCGGCTCGAGTTTCAAAACAGAATCACTTTGGTTGGAGCGATAGGCACGCATATACTCACGCCTACGTGCTCTTTCTTGTTCGTTTGGCATTTTCTTTTCTTTATTTTTTCTTCAAACGAAATCAAACGAAAACACTAAAAAAATGCATGATGATGGTGAATGGTGAACAAACAATGAAATGAAAATGATTCGAATTCAAATTCGGAATCAAAAATGATGATGATTAGATTAGATTAGAATTAGAATTGATAAAAACAATATTCACTTTTCAATACTCATAATCATACTCATACATGCACACAAAATGAAAATCACGTGTGTCACTATCAAAATTCGAATTCGAACTCTTTCTATGTTCTATTGAATGACCATCTATTGGATGCAAAAGCTGCAGCAACGTGTGCTGAGCTAGAATAATAAAAAAAAGCTTTGTCAAAGCTACATACCGAAGAATACGTTTCTTTAGAAGCGGCTTCTACTTCTGAAGCTGAATGAACTGTTCAGCGGCATTCAAAAGTTTTTCCGCACGCATACACACACACACACATGAACAATTTCGATATTAATAATAACGATCACTTGATTTCCGCAATTGAAAAATTGATAAATGACAATAAATTACCTGAATTCTCTTACCTCATCCATCAACGACTTGGAGAAATGAACAAACATTTGAAATTTATTGTTTAAAGCTCTTTCTTAGTCTTTCATCTTTATTTACATGATTATCAATTTATAAGACTTTTATTTCCGTTTTTTCTTTTCTTGTATTTATATTTTTATTATTTTAATAATTTTAAATAAAGTCAGGAGTTATGCTCCTTTTAAATTAAAAAAAAATAAAAATAAAAAATAAAAAAATACACACACACACACACACACTCAACACCCACTGAGTAGCTCATACTAAATAGTTATGTTTGTACTGAAAATACGTACGATGACCGGCTCAGCTTGGCCGCATTAAATGCCAAGTTAATACCCAGTGCAAGTACACAGTGCAAGCACTTGGCGAGTATAAAAGTTGCAATTACCGACAAACGTAAGCGACATAGATTTTAAAAAAATTAAATTCAATTAAATTATTAAATTTAAATTAAACTAGTAGATGATGATGATATATATTTCACACAATTACAAATAAGATTTTTTTTGCAATATTTGTTTTCGATGTCAATAAATGTTATTTTATTTTATTTTTGCTCGCTAAAAATTTTTTTTTTTCATGTAAATACCATGAAGATGAAGATGACAAAGCTTTATGTATTTTTTGTTTTGTTTTATTTGTTTACAGGTTGTTGTTGTTGTGGTGTGGTGGATGGTAATTTTTTTGTTTGTTTTGTTTGAGGGAATTCATCTGATTTAACAAAATTGATTTAAGAGAAACAAAGATGTTATTAATATTTGCTGTTGTTGAAGATCGAATTGGATATAATGGCATCACACCTGGCAACGTTTTTGAATTCGAAATAAATCGATACACATAAACACAAACACACACTATACATCCCCCCACCATTATTATTCTTGCATGATCACATTGCATATTTTCGAGTCCATTCTCGTGCAAATTCATTGTATTTATCGCGATCAGTTTTGTAGATACGAGCAATTTCTGGTACCAAAGGATCATCGGGATTTGGATCGCATAATAGTGAACAAATTGAAAGCAAAACTTTTGAAATTGTTAATGCCGGCGACCATTGTGATCGTAATATATCCAGACATATAGAACCATTACTGTTTATGTTCGGATGATATATACGTGTAGTGAATGAGACTTTTGGAGGCTTAAACGGATAATCTGTTGGAAAGTGTATCGTCAGGAAAAACACTCCGCCTTGATAAGGACTATCTGGTGGTCCCATTATGGTCGCTTGCCAATGGAACGGATCTTCACCAACTGGACCGGCAGAACACTGTGCCGGTGGATCACGTTTCAAATCTTCCAATTCTTTACGGATTCTCTTCAATGCCATGTTTGTGAAATATTTGTACTGTTTGATTTGATTCAAATTTGTTTCTTTATAAAATTTTTGAATTAGAATCAATCAATAAATCGTGATCGGCCAATGAAACAAAAATCAATTTCGATAATAGCTAATAAGAATCTGTTGAAAGAAAAAAGAGAAAAAATGTCTTAATAAATAAAATCTATAAAAAATTAAAATTTATGAAGAATTAGTAATAAAAACGATAAAAAATAAAATGCTTTTCATTGTTGAGGATGAAATAGTTTAATTAGATTGGAACACAATGCGTAATAAAATCAACCACCCTCTCTCAAATAATTTTAATTTATTGTTTTATTTCATCGATAAGGTCAATCGATCATACCTAAAAAGTAAAATTAGGAAGAGTTGATAATTTCCTAAAGGGGGAGGGAAGAGATCGTAGAAATCAATCAAATAGAAACAATCGGGAACAGAGCCCAAATTCACTGATACACACACACAAATCGAAGATGAAAATCGGAAAACAAAAATGTGCCAATCTAATGAGATTAATCGGTATATGTACAGGTTTTTTTCAAGATTTGTATAATAATGTATTATTATTATTCTTGTAGCTGAATTGCTGTCGTCGGTTTTGTGTGTGTATGTGTGTTCGTATTCTATTCTACCACACAAAACGCGATTCTGGACCTTTATGGATTGATCAAGGGGCTATATATCTCTCATCGAAACATTATTTTTAATCATACAACATACACAATGATGAATAATTTTTTTTGTTGATTTGTTGTATAAAACTAAAAAGGATTTCTCAATACAAAATCCTAATTGAAAACACACCACACACACACAACACACAATCAAGAAATTTGTTTTTTCATCAAACGATTGAATTCGATGATGATGATGATGATGATGCTGGTGATGATGATTATGATGAAAAAAATAACGATGAATAACAAAATGGTTAAAGAATAGAAGAAAATAAAATTGAGTCACACTCACAAATACCAACAATAAAAAAGGATACGAGTTGAAAAAAAAATATAAAAGAGGAAAATCAAAGAAAAAGAAGAAAAGGGAGCACGCAGCCAGCCAATAATGCAATGCAAGAGAAACTATGCTTGTTTTTTTTTTTTTTTTGATTTGGCTCACTCACACACAACACACACAGCACAGATATATTAACGACGGCAGCAGCAGTATATTAGACGGACAGACATGGATAAAATAGTGAATGAGAGAGAAATAGAAAGAAATTGAGCGTTCGAAAGCCACGAAAAAAAAATACAAGTAGCGCCACACAAAGAGAATGTTTACAATTGTAGCGGCGGCGGCTGCTTCAAAACAAGAGAATAAAAAAAAAAATTTAATCATCCATTCAAATACAACGTATGACCACGAATAAATAAATTCTACCTGAAATTCATTAATCAATACATTTTTTTTATTGATTGATGAATTTACAAATCATATAAAATGTGAATGATTTTTTACTGACTGGTAATTTACGTTATCATTACAATGCACACTCAGACAATTTTAAGAGACAAAGAACGAAAAAAAACAAAACAAAAAATGCTTGATACTTTCAAATCATCAGCATCATTCAATTAATTAAGAAAATGAACGCATGCGTTCAATTTTAAATTGCAATCTTGAAAAAAATGATTTTTAATTTTCATTTTTTTTCACGTGTCAAATACGTATATTACATGTATACTCATTGTTCATCGGTGATTCTATATTCTAATATGAACCTTTTCAATCTAGAATTTCCTAAGAAAGACGAAACGATCGAATGAATTAGTATGTCATTCTTCTAAGAGTAGGCGGTAATCGTTAGTCTTTTATATATCCATTTCTTGTGAATTTCAATTTTTTTTTCGCCTCTCGACTATTCTATGCATATACCGTTACGGACGGTGTTTATGTCCTGATACAACACATAGCAATTTTTTTTCGTTTCGTTGTGCAATTTTCTTCAAAGAAAAATGGATTAATTCTAAGAATATAAATTGCTGCTGCCACCACCAACACCACCACCATCATCACTAAGACGATGTAAAATAGCAAGATTTGAAAGGTGAGGTGACAAGAAAAGCAAGGATAGCGAGAGCGAGAGAGAAGATCATCTTAATTCAATGTTAATAGGACGTCTCCATCTTAAATCAGATTGAATTTTTTATGAAACAAATCAAGACATAAAATGAATGACGTAATTAATCTTAATCAAAAGACAAGATGGATGATTAAAAAAGAATTACATCATCTGACGGTGATTTGATGATTATGATGAGGTGTACACACACAAAACATGGAACAATTTGCTAATTACTAAAAGTATTGAACCTAATTTACAATATAAAATACACATAACTATCATACATGGCTTTATTTTTAGTTGTCATTTTACAGCATCTTAATTAAAATGTCATCGACATTCGAATCACTAAACAGTAAACAAAACAAAACAAAAAAATTCAATGATAAATGTAGATGGAAAGGTGAAGAAAAAGTTGAGAAAAAAAAATCTGACAACAACAAAAAGCCATGGTTACTGTTATGACATTTACTGACCGAAACAGAAATTTGCAATATTGATTCTGAAATTCTTACCTTTAAAAACAAATTCAATTGTTTGTTAATAAATTCGTGTGTTTTTTCAAATGAAATTTTCTATTTCAAATTAATTTTTTCAAATCAAACAATAGGATTATTGGTGATGATAATTTTCCAAACCAGATGAGAAAACCTTTTTTTCATGAAAACAAATGAAAAATAATGATTAAAAAAATTTTTGATTTCGAATACAAACAAAACATTACCGGGTACTCAATATTTGTTGTTGTGGTATTAAAATACAGAGGAATGAATGTTTAATGTTTTTTTTTTGTTTTCAAAAGAATATTCTGATGATGAGTGAGTAAGTGAGAGAAAAATCTATAAAATAAAATGAAATTTTAATCGTAAATTTTATCAATAAAATATAATGATACATGCCACAAATTAGTGATAATTTTTTTCGTATAGTTTTCTATAATACACTCACACACTGACACGAAACAAAAGGTTTTTTTTCGTTGGAATCGAATGAAAATGATTAGCCCAGAGAATGAGTAATATGACAAACACAAAGGTAAAATATTGCACACGAGAATCAAAAAAAAAAAAAAAAAAATTAAATTCGTTTGTGATGAGATAAAAAAAAAGTCAACCGGGTAATAAATCGGGATAAAATCAATGTGTGTGCTTTATAAAGGGTAGTGATGATGATGATAATGATTCGAACAACAAAAAAAAAATTCGAACGTTTTGATGCTGATGATGATGATGATTTAATTTAATCCGATATCGACAAATAGAAACAAATCCAAAAGATTAAAAAAAAAGTTGATCAAAAACTTTGAAGTAAATAAATACACAAACACAAAGAGAGAAGAAAAACTCACACACACACGACGACGACAACACCACCAAAAAAATTTTTTCTTTCAGCAAGAGCAATTGAGCAACAACAACAACAACAACAACAACAAAAAAAAAAAAAAAAAAAAATTTTCTTTTTTCTTTCTGTTCTCGTCAGATGAATTTTCTTCTTCTGTGGATGATGATGATGAATATTATATAAAGACGTAAGTATTTCAATTCAATTCAGACGAAACTTGGACTGTTGTTGTTGTTGTTGTTCGGGCTTATGGGGGATGACAACACTATGTTTTTCATTGCTACTTTTGCTGCTTGGCATTATTATCTTATTATTGATGAGAAAAACAACCCGAAAAATAAAACATTTACTGATCATGTATTATTATTATTATTATGCAGATTCAAGGTATAGTCGTCATCGTCGTCATGGCCATAATGTTGGTTAGTTAATGATTTTTTTTTTTTTTTAAATTGGAACCATTTTTTTCTCTTTCTGTAAAAAGTTTCAGTTATGACTGATTCTGGTATGTGTGTGTGTGTGTGTGTGTTCTATATAAACCGATCGAATATTTATGGATTGAAATTATATATAGATCAGATTCTTGAACCAACCACTACTCGGTTTATTTCCGTCAACCACAACAACAACGACGTCGTAGTGTTTTTTTGGATTCTTGTCATTAATTTGAATTTTGTTTGTTACCCAACAATAAAACAATCCAACAAGCGAAACAAACAAACAAAAAAAAAATAAAGACGGAAAAAAAAATTTTTTTTTTTGTTCCAAAAATTTGCATTACCAAAATTTTATAATCATCATCGTTTTTCCTCATTATATTTTAAAAACAGAACATTTGTTTCCGGTTTTTTTCCCGTCCCGTTAACCACACTCATTTACATCATCGTCATTATGCATAATGATGATGATGATGTAAATTTTTTTGTTTTGTTTTGTGTGTGATTTACCAATTACATTCGACAATGATGATGATGATGATGACAAAAACAAACATTGGAAAGACATTATTATTCAAAGATGATCATCATCTTCAACTGATGATGATTCATCCATAATAGCTTGAAGCTATTAGAATACAACCACACACACAACCAACCAAATGATTTTAAAAGATTTCGAATGTTTACGATGGTAGCATGGCGGTGTGGTGGTGGTGGTGGTGTTTATCATCTATATATCTTTCTTTGCTAATCAACACACTACTTACTTTTTATATTACACAATTTATCTTTAAAGCTTCATCATCAACAATTTCTCTTTTGCTGAAAATGAACAAATCATATATAAAAGCACAAGCAACACGTTGTTGTTGTATGGCAAAAAAAAAAAAGAATCGAATCAATTTTTCATATAAAAAAAATGGAATATCATCATCATCATCATCATGTTGCATGTCGAAATTTTGATTTTTGTTGACAGATAAAACATACACAAGCCTATGTTGTGTTGTGAATACAACCACAACAACAACAATCCATTTTGGGATTAAAAATTGATTTCTTCTTCTTTCTTCGATCGACTATAAAACTTGAATTTTGCATTAGTTTGTCAAAATTGTTGCTGATGATCAGCCATCGATCCACTTGTCTCTTGTATAATTTTCTCATTTTGAAATTTTTTTTCCTTCCACACACACACACACACACACACGAGAAAGCAAGAAAATATTGTCATTTTTTTTGCTTGTTTGTTTGAGAAAATTTTATATCGTCAAAATCAAAGTACAAAGATCGACGTTCTCGATTCATTGATCTTTTGTCTGTCTATCTGTGTCTGTGTGTGTTGTGTTGTGATTTTAAATTTCTGTTTTTCATTTATAACATTCTATTTGTGCCATGTTTTCTTTTTCCAACCACACATCATCATCATCATCATTATTATTATGAATCCTTGAATTTAAATTCAATCTCCATGAATTTCAATGTGTATGAAACCTTCATTTGATTGATATATATGCACGCGCGTGTTTGTCGATCTACCATTTTATCATGATGATGATGATGATGTACTTTTCAATGAACAAAAACGATGCGTAGCTGAACAAAAAAAAAATATTCATATCATAATCATATCATATTTTTATCCCTAAAAATAATATCTGTAATTTAAGTAAACGTAATCGATTATTTATCACACCATGAAAGATCAAGATATTCGATTAAGGAAAAGAAAATTTAATAGAGAAATTTAAAGATAGATTTTCAATCGATAATCAATCAACAAAGCAAAAGCTTAATATTGTTTTTTTTTCTCCTTTCATTAATGATTTGTACATTGGATCATTCAGTTGATCCATTCATCTATCAAGTGTTGTGGTTTTTTTTACTGTAAAAAAAATTTCGACCACAATTTATCATCATCATGCCTTGGTTGTTCAATTTTTTAACACCCGTTTTGATTATCATAATGATAATCATTTTAATTCAGATTAATCCATCTATTTCCGTTTTTGATCATCAAACAAGTCAAACAAATGAATTGTTATTACAACAATCTCAACAGCAGCAGCAACAACAACAACAACAGCGGCAACAATTTCATGTACCACATGTTGATTGGAATTTTTTACAACGTTCAAATCAAACATCAGCAAAATCAATATTACAGAATGAAATTGAAAATTTAAAACGTTTATTTCCGTTCATTAATTTCCACAATTCATCAAAATCGTTTGATTCGTTTATTGTTTTGGATAATAATAATAATAATGATGATGACAATGATAATTCGAATGTTATTCATGAACAACAACAACAACAACAGATGATACAGCCATATCATATTCAAATAGAATCGAAAAAAGATTCGAATGATAATTTCATCAACAATGATGATAAAGATGATGATGGTAATAGTTCAACAACCACAACAACAACAAATTCAAAAAATAAATTAATCGATCTAAATGCCATATTATTTTTGGGATTAATGTTTTTCATATTGGTCGTTATAACGCTTTATCTTCTGAATTCATGGTCATCACGATTGGATCGTCGTGCATCCATACAAACGAAAACGGCCGATAATCACAAACAACCATATACGATTTCCGTGTAAATTCAATTATGAAGTCCAAAATGTGAATTTGTGATATTTTCCATATATCTATATCGATAATAAATTCTTTGCTCAACGTGATCATCAAAAGATTTTTTTTTTTCAACATTCATGAAATTGTAACTGTAAAATTGTATATAATAATTAATTATTGGCCAATATTTTGTTAAACACTGATCAACATTTTTTTTTAGACTGATAATAATAAATTGCAATAATAAATAAATTAACCTTCAAATTCAAATTCACCTGTTGTGTTTTTTTTATACGATGAAAGTTATCGATTTATTGCGGGTATGAATTGGTCACATTAGAATAACATGTCACATGTTTTTCGTTACAAATAAACAAAATTGAATTGACAATTTATTTATTTTGTTGTAAAAATAAAATCAATATATCTAATCACAATGGAACCGATAATTGTTGATTCACGTGAAGAAGGTACGGTCGAAATCGACAGTGATATTTTACGTTTACGACCACTTGGTGCCGGACAAGAAGTTGGTCGCAGTTGTATCTACATGGAATTTAAAGGCAAAAAAATTTTACTCGATTGTGGTATCCATCCTGGTTTGAATGGTATGGATGCTTTGCCATTTGTTGATCTCATCGATCCAGAAGAAATTGATCTTTTGCTTATATCACATTTTCATTTGGATCATTGTGGAGCGTTACCTTGGTTTCTACAGAAAACCACATTCAAAGGACGATGTTTCATGACCCACGCAACGAAAGCAATCTATCGTTGGCTATTGGCTGATTGTATAAAAGTTTCCAACATATCGGCTGAACAGATGCTCTACACTGAACAAGATCTCGAACAATCAATGGACAAGATTGAAACGATAAATTTTCATGAAGAAAAAGAGATTGCCGGTGTACGATTTTGGTGTTATAATGCTGGCCATGTTCTTGGTGCTGCAATGTTTATGATCGAAATAGCTGGTGTTAAAATTCTTTACACTGGTGATTTTTCACGTCAAGAAGATCGTCATCTTATGTCGGCCGAAATTCCAGCCATTAAACCAGATATTCTTATCATCGAATCAACATATGGTACACATATACATGAAAAACGAGAAGAAAGAGAAGCCAGATTCACGGGCATTGTTTATGATACTGTCACAAGAGGTGGCAAATGTTTGATACCTGTATTTGCATTAGGTCGAGCTCAAGAATTATTGCTCATCCTGGATGAATATTGGGCACAACATCCTGAACTACATGAATATCCAATCTATTATGCATCATCATTGGCCAAAAAATGCATGTCCGTTTATCAAACATATATTAATGCCATGAATAATCGAATCAAACGACAAATTGCCATCAACAATCCATTTGTATTCAAACATATTTCAAATCTAAAATCCAAAGCACATTTAGATATGGATGAAATTGGACCTTGCGTTGTTATGGCTACACCCGGTATGATGCAATCAGGATTATCACGAGAACTTTTTGAAAGCTGGTGCAGTGACCGAAAAAATTGTTGTATCATTGCCGGTTATTGTGTGGAAGGTACATTGGCCAAACAGATTCTATCTGAACCGGAAGAAATTGTTGCAATGAGTGGACAAAAATTAGCGAGAAAATGTCAAATAGAATATATTTCTTTTTCAGCTCATACTGATTATAAACAGACAAGTGAATTTATTCGAGCACTTCGACCCCCTCATATAATGTTGGTGCATGGTGAAGCGAATGAAATGAATCGACTAAAATTGGCTCTAATTCGTGAATATGAAGATCAGGAAAAACCACCTGAATTTCATAATCCACAAAATACAGTCACATTGGAATTACATTTTCGTGGAGAAAAAATTGCTAAAGTGATGGGAAATCTAGCTGTAACAAAACCAACGGCTGGTCTACGTCTTTCCGGGATATTGGTGAAACGTAATTTTAGCTATCATTTATTAGCACCATCTGATCTAAACAAATATACTGATATGGTAATGAGCACTATTTCACAACGTTTAACTGTTCCATTCGAAGATGATTTTGACCACATGCTTACTGCATTCCAAGGATATCATTTGGAACAAATATCGGATTGTTCTGTTAAAGTTTTCGATCAGATACAAGCAACAATTGATGTGCAGAAAAAATTTGTTATACTTGATTGGATTTCATCGCCAGAATCGGATATGTATGCTGATACATTGATAGCATCCTTATTGAAATCATCGATAAAAAATGAAGAAATAGCATCACTATCGAGCAACAAAACGATGGATGTCGACATGGTGTCAGATGATAATGATGTAAAGAAATTTTATCCATCTACCAAGACAATTTCATCACAGGCTAAAGAGTTACTATTCACAAATCTTTTAATTGATTCATTAAGAGAAATGTTTTCATTACAAGAAAAAGATTTTGTCGTTAGGACTGTGAAACATGATTCGAAAACGACTATGATGATGACAGACAATGTACCGAAAGTTGAAAAACTTTTGGCATTCAAAATTGATAATGAAGCTGATGTTGAGATCAATATCACCTCCAGGCAAATAGTTCGATGCGATCTTGATCATGTAAGAAATATGTTGAATAGATTCCTGTCCAATAGTGTGGAAATCGGAGCAAATTCATAAAAATAAAAATAAAAATTTTCAAAAAAAAAATTTAAATTTTTTATTAAATAAATTCTTCCTTCATTTATTTGTCATATTAAAATAATTTATTTGTTTTTTTTTTTTTTACAAAATAAAATTATTGGAAAAAAAATTTAATCATTTATTTAAATGAACTTCGGCTACTTGGTCGTAAACCTCGTAATGAAGTACCCGAACTATTTGATGATGTTGATGGAGGACCAGGATAGTGACCGGAAACGTTAGCCATTTTAAATGACATCATCATTGCCGATGAATCGCCACCCATCACAGCTGGTGATTGTATTGAAGGAGACTGTGGTGATGACATCGTTTGATATTGTTGTTGACAGAATGATATCTCCGATGACATAGTTGATGATGCTGGCGAGGTTGGCTCATTAGTCATTGAATGAGGTGTTGATGGTATTGAAACTAATGATTGATTTGTTTTTAATGTACAATGAATAAAGTCTTCTAATGTTATAAAACCGGAATCCATTAATTTTGTTAGATCATAAGTTGCGTAAAGTTTTTCACTATGCAATAGATCATAACGTGGTGCATAAATACGATTAGCAAATTCTTCGAAAATTGTAGGATCTTTATATTTAGTGATCAAGTTTTTGATAGTATCATGACGTGTTTCAAAATATGGCTTATAATCATCCATATTCAAACGTTTTCCACGTGATGCATTGATTGCAGTTGCTCGTACTAGACCGGCCAGTTCATCACGATGTACAACGGCACCATGAAAAAGTGGTCCAAAAAATGGCACCTCTGCTTTACGCATTATTTGAATACGAAATAAATTCGGAAATGTATTGGCAGGTAATGGATAAATGACAATCAAAACATCACCAAATTCAGTGGCTAATATACTTCGACGATATTCTTTATAATGTTCAGACCAAACAATATGTATTTCATCATTTCCTAAATGTCTCATCTTCATATTCATAAGTTGTTGTTTATCAATTGATTGTTGTTGCTGTTGTTGTTGTTGTTGTTGACTAGTATTGGCATTTAATAATTCATTATTGACTGGTTCAAGACGTGTGGAAACATGAAATATAACTTCATTGAATGAATCGGCGTAATATGGTGCTGTTAGTCCAGTACTTAAATTGGATTGCAGACCACCCATGAAACCAGCATGAGTAGCAAGATTCACTTCCCATCCGATACGAGAGACAAATTCTTCGAAAGCTCGACTTCCAGATTTATTAAGTAATATACTTTCACGAGTCTCTTGGCAAGGTCCCACATAAATGACGGCAATCTTATGTTGATCTCGAAATTGTTGATTATCCAAATGTCGCAATTCACGTACAGTTGATTGACTTTTTGAAAGTAATTCAATTTGTTTACGTTTTTCCCATGATAGAAATCCAAATTGTTCAATCATTTGTCGACAATGTTGAAAAGCTTTAACTGGATCCAAAAGATCTGTACTACTTGAATCAGTTGACGAATTGTAGCTATTATTATCAATCGATGCAATATCGGGTGATGATTGATCTGGATTGACTTTAAAATGGCGACTATTAAATTCTGGATCTTCATTAAATTGAGATTCTTGAAAATGTTGATTAATCAATAATGCCAATGTATCGACTGCTTCAGGCATTTGATTTAATGAATGTAAAAAATCATCATTTGTTGTCAAAGTTTTCGGACGACATTCAGGTGTAGTTTCGTATATGGAATTCACTAAAAGCTCAAGGCTATCTTTGGCCAAAGAATTCTTGTAACAATTCATTGCATTTTCATCTTCCTCATCAGCCAGATCTGGACTTGTCGATTTGGCCGATTGATCACTTGCTAATGAACTTAATGGACGACTTATAGAATTTTTATCAGGAACCAATGGTGATGCAAGCATTATAGAGTCCCATGCAAATTTTCCCAACACATTACGTATGATTATACGAATCGGTTTAGCTGAAAACAAACTGAATGAATCCGAAGTGGTGGATGATAAAAATTTTGTCCATATGGTAGAATCAAATGCTTCGATAGGCAATTCAACAAATGACATTAAACAAGTATCATTAATAGTGAAAACAAGAACATTTGGAGCATTAAGAGATTCATAATCGACTTTGTCATATTGTGCCGAGGAAACATATGGATTATCATCATTTTCATTGATCAATGCACTTAATAATGCTGATCGCAATTTAGGTAAAGGAAAATGGCCCATAAAATTCATGAAATGTAATAAAATTAGATTAGCTGCTTTTTTCAATGTAGAAACATTTTCAATCTGTTGATCAAATGATGGTGTTAAACCGCCACCGCGATGACGATTATTATTGTTCATAGTAGTCAACATATCTTCATTCCTTGGTGAATTTGTTGAACTTATAATGGTATAATCCATTGTATCCATATCACCTACTTGTGGTGAATTTTTTAATGCTTCTGAAGTTGAAGAATTTAGTGATTGATTTTTAACCAATGCTACTGGATCCAAATTCACCACTGATATGTATAAAGAAATGACTAAATCAAGTAAACACGGTCTAATTTGATTAGATCTTGATGATTCATCCGAAGATTTTCGATTATTAATTATCGGATTTGGTTGACAAATTTTTCCAGGATATTCTTCCGTTACAAATGTATTCAAAAGAAAATCTTTACTGACTGACATACACCAATGTGATAGGCAAAACATGATACACAGTAGAAGCTAAAAATGAAAAGTTCATTTTAATAAAAAGTATCAAACTAAACAACAACTATGACTTACATTTTTGAAATCTTTCAACAAAGTTTTCTGTTTAAGAACATCGATATGAAGTTCAAAAGTATAGCATAGACCTTCGATTATACGTCTAGCTAGATCTGGATGTTTGTTCATCAGGTAATTTGAATGATCAGCAATCAATCGTAACATGTCACAAGCGACACGACATATTACACGATTATTGAACTAATATATTGAAGAATGAAACAATTTTAGTCATTTGAATTTAAATTTTTTTTTTTTTTTGCTTAATAAATATGATTGAAATTTTGTATATTTTTATGGCAGATAATTCTCAAATATAGACATTGAATTCGTTTGGTTTATACCTTCGAATTATCAGCCGAATTACTATTAAAAACAGTAGTAGCAGCAGCAGCAGCAGCCATGTTGGTGGTGGCGTCGGTAATTGGTCGTGTTGGTGAAGCTGCCGGTTTGGCTCGTTTAACCGATATCTGATATCAATTTTTTTTGAGTTAGTGTTTTAATGAGGGGTTATTCATCATTCAACGAGCAACGAAATAAATGAATGAATTAACAGCAAAATTGACACAAAAAAAATCAAACAAAAAAGAAAAATTAATTTCAATCATGCATGCACAATCAAAAGAAAATAGAGAAAAAGAAATGATCGATAGATATACAAATAGTATAGATAGATTATAAAGTATAATTTGGATCCGACACCACCATGACCATGAGTGTATATATAGAGAATGAATGAGAATCAAGTATTCACGTGCAAATTGAAAAATGATTTTGTTTTTCGAATTTTGTTCAACAATCAAAATGAAATGATAGCTTACCCTTGTTCCAGCAACTAAAATGTTGATAATATCTTTGATACGATTAAATTCGGAGCCTTTAATGAATTCACGGTATAGAAATATACCCAAACTACAGAATGAAATGACACGTCCTAATCCAGTTTGTTCGCGTTTACTGGCGCCAATCAATATTTCAATTACATGATCCTAATAAAATTTTCATTTTTCAATAGGTTAGTATTCAGATCAAAAAAAAATATCATGTCAAACCTTAAGATCAGTGTATGGTTCAAGACTAAGTGTATCAGTACTACGAAGACAAAGTACATTGCTGAATACGTCGAAAAATCCAATCAATGAACCAAGCAATTGTAATGATTCAATACGTGGATACTGTATGAAAATAAATTTGGCGATAATTAATAGTGAAAAAAAATGGAATTCTGTGTAAAAATTACCGTTTTGACTTCAGTTGAACCAATGACAACATTGGCTGCGCTAACAAAATGAAACAAAAGACATGAAGATCCCCAAAGTGAGGCAGAAAAGAATTTCGATCCACAATATTTGATAATGGTATTGATCAAATCCTATTGGAATGAGAGTTTGAAAAAAAGAATTTTTAAAATCAAATTGAATAATTAGTGTAAATTGTTAATTTTATACCATATCATAGGATAGAATAGCACGTTTCAAAGCCAAATAGAAAAGAATCAAAAATTCTTTGCTTAATTCTTGTTCGGAACGATACATGGCAATCATGCAAAGTAATTTATATGCTAAAAGTCGACCAGATTTATATTCTTGAGGTAATGTCGTAGCCCTAAATAACCATGAGGTATAATAATGTAATGATGGAACCAATAATTGGCCACAATTTTCTCCCGATTGATGTGATGAAGCAGCACTTAGATAAGTAATATTATCACGAATTTTTGTAAAATCTTCAGTGATTATAGCAAGACATTCGAATGCCTTTCGATGAAGATTAGGATCTTCGATATCATTAGGATCACCAAGTATTTCCAACATTCTTCGCCAAAGAATAGCAGCAACTTCAGCATTCCATCCACGAGATTGTCCTCCTAATAATACTGGTCGATTAGCCAACGGATTAGTATCGTGACAATGTTTATTCGAAACAGTTCCATTTTCTGATGATCCAAAAGAAATTTGTTGATCAGTTATTGATGAACTACAAGTAGAAGCAGCTGATGTTGAATCGAATGTTAATGGAGTTTCTTTTAAACTATTACATTCACCAATTGTACCCGTGTATGATGCTCCTAAACTTAATGTATCAGCAATTGAATCTGATCCATTTGTTTGATTTGAATGATGATGATGATGATGTTGATGATGATGATGATGATGATAATGGGTAATATTGTGACGATGGGCAGAATACATAATAGCTATATCATTTGTAGAATTTGATCGAAACAATGTTTTTCTTCTGAGGTAGTCAATCATATAATATTCATTCATTGAAATTGAATCATCATTATCTTCAGCCACGTCATTGTAGCCATTATCATTATAATAATCAGGCTGATAATCGAAACTTTCGCCAATTCCAATGGTTAATTCTTCATCGATTTCGTCATCATCAATCATTGGTAAATTATTATTTCGTAATATAGATGATCTATGCCGATTCTTTTTCGAATATTTTCGATTTTTCGTTGCCGATGATGACTTATAGGAACGTCTTGCAAAATACATTTTCGATTGCATTGATGTGCGTATTGGACATAATGATTGTTGTACAGTTAACACAAGGCAGCTATCCGATAGGCTACGTTTTAGAAATCGATTTATTAATTGATTTTTATGATAATCCCGATGTCGATTCACCGAAACCAAATGTAATAATGGTGTTGATATTTTTGGATGACCTCCTTTTCGTTGATGTCGAGAACCATTGATGTTATCACTTGTTGAATCATTGCTAAGTAAACGTTGAACTGGAACTTTGGATGAATCATATTGTGCGGAATCAGGATGAGTTGATGTTCGACTAATCTGATCATGTTGTTGTTGAGTTTGATTCGACGATGATTGATTGATATTTTTTGTCTGATTAATAGTTTCATGTGATTGTGGATGTTGGTTTTGTGATTGTTGTGGTTGTGTTGAACTAACACTTCGAATATGATGTAATCTAGGTTTATTTCGTAATTCTCTTTTACGATCAGTGATTGTTTTATCCATTGGCAATTCATTAAGATTAATATGGAATACATAACGTGACATGACTCGATTCAAAATTAACATTGTATTACTCCATTCACTGATCAATTCGTCCCATTCGGTTAATGATGAAACAAGCTGATGAAATTGTTCCCATAGCTGACTTGATACTTGTATGTTAAGATTGGCTTTGATCCAGGTAACAACTAATGTTTGAAAAAGAGCAGGAGCCAAACGGCCGCCAAGACTATCTTCACGTTTAGCTGGAACTTTTGGACTAATAATACATTCGGTAACACGAATCAATACTTGAACAAGATTCTCCCAAACACTTTGTTCCATTTCGATTTTCATCACCATATATCGATAAATATTGAATACCCGTTTAGAAACATCAACCTGTTTTTCCAATATTTGCACCATTTCTGAAGGGACTTCCAATAAGAATACGTTCGATGAGGACATGACGAATATGTTCATCATATTCATATAACCAGCACATACATTTTCATCATTCGATATCATCAATGTCATTGGCTGATTTGAACTTGATGGTGAATTTGTCAAATTTCCGCTATTAATATTATTATTTGGTTCAGCCAAAAATAATGGCAATGGACTACTATTTTCTTTGTAAATCCATTGTCGAAATACTTTGATCACATCACGCATTGTTGTAGTAAGATCTTCATGAAATGGCCATAGGAACGATTGATGAAAAAGATTTAACACCAGATCAACATAAAATCTTCGTGAATTTAATAATGAACGAAATATTTCACTTTCATATTCAAATGTTTGGCTGGTTATCATGTTTTGTTGATTGTTTAACAGAGTTTTCGATGATGATTGATTGAATAAAGACATGGATGATGATGATTGTGACGTTGACAATAGACTACTTAAACTGGATGAATGTAACAAATTTGATTGTGAAGTTGAATACTTGGATAAATTACTCGACAATGGATCTGTTGTTGAATTAGTGGGAGTCAATGTTGCCGTTTGGCCATTGTTTTGATTGCTGGCACCTTCTTTACCCAATAAATATTTGGCAAACCATTGGATTACGACAGCTTGTAGGAAAGGCACATGTTCATTTTGATTGGGATAATGATCACGAAATCGTCTCAATTTGGGCAATTCATTAGTTGGATGATAAATCGAAATCAATAATCTTATTGTAAAATCATTCCATTCATTTTCATTATGATTTTTTGTTGCCAATACTGGAAAAATATAAGGCAAATAAATTCGTGAAAATGATGAAAAAAGAAATTCAAATCCACGTAGATGTCGTCGTTCTCGATGATCACGCCAATAAATTTTTGCACATTGTGATATTGAATAATCTAATAAATGTAGAGTAAAAAATATTCTTGTGTACTGTTTATATTCGTAATTAGGATAGCTGCTGTTTATGTTACTGCCATGTGTTACTGATGAAGAATTACTTGAATGCAATGAACTTAATGATTGATCAATATTCAAGATAAATGGTTCAATTGGAAATGGACGAATTCCATAATATTTCACTTGATTCGGATCGATCAATGGAGATTCGGCTAGATGTTGATTCGTGCAAGTTGTTTCATTTAAAACGACACCAGGAATTAGCGATGCATAAAGGAATTCAATTTGTTGATTTTGTCGTAAATTTGTTTCGCCAAGAATTTGGTAATAAATCAGAAATAAACGCATCGCTTCCAAGCGGATAGATAATAGATTGGTTGGATGTAAACATTTTCGAAATATAAAAATCAAACTATTCATTTGCCATCGTTTTTCTAATTTTTCTGGCAAAAGAATCAAAATTTTTTCGAATATATAAAATAATAATCTATCATCTTCGGTGGTATTCTTTCGGTGTCCATTGAATTTAACCGAATCCAATATGACAAATGTTTCATGAAAAACCGAATAGATGACTGAATAATTACTCATAAAAGTTTCTTTAACTTCTTTGATTTCTTTTGCATCTAAATAATAATGATGATAAATGTCAATGAAAAAGCATTTAACGTATCAATCAATAATCACTTACCGCAAATAGATTTCAGTGCTCGTAATCGACTAAAACAATCACGTTTATAATCAAATAATTTTGATAAAGATTTTTTCAAATCAAATTGTTGTTTATTAGTTTTGAATTTGATTCCCTGCATTTTTGGTTGTTGTTGTTTGTTTTCAAAAGATCTAAATTCGTTAAAAATTTTTTCATGAGATTACATCATTCAACGATATGAATTTATGCAATTCTGGAATTGATTCCCATGAGTGATGATGATGATGATGATGACGTTACTGTTCTTGAATTGTATCTAAACAATAATCAGCATAATTTTTGATTTGAATAATTTTTTTTTTATTATTCCGTTGTTTTTGTTGTTTGTGAAAGGCACAAGGTGGGCGAATTTCGTTTATGTTTTCTGCTTCTTTTTCTTCTACCATTAAATATAAACAATAACGGCATCAATATAGCAATGAAAATGATTAGTTGAAAAGAAGAAGTAGAAGAAGTAGAAATAAAATATAGTATAAACAGGATCGAAAATAAAAATTGAAAACACACTGATGTTGTTGATTTTTTTTTTTGGGGGTATCAATGATCAATGATTAATGATTAATGATTAATGATGATAGTGAAATCAAACGTTGATGATGAAAAAAATGTTTTCATTGATCGATGATGATGATGATACGATTTCAATTAATGATAATCTTTATTCGAAAAAATTTTTTTGGTGATGATATGAATCGAACAACTCTTTGCTTGTCTTTTTTTTCCCCATATGCTAATCAAACACAATCTTTTTTTTTTTCTTCTTCAATGATGAACATATTAATTTGTTATTATATATGTCTAATTTGAAATTCGATATATTTCATATATTTTGTCGTTGTAAATAGTTATTAGTGATTTGATATTTGATCCAAATTTGATGGTTATGAATTACGTTTTTCTGGTGACGTTGCAGGTAAATATATTGTATGTATGATTCACATCAACGATTAATATCAATGTTTCGAATAGCGAATTTAACAACAGAACGAACGTTGATTACAATGACATCGGAAAAAACAACAACTAGAAAAATGTCAAATATAAAATCAAAAGAGAATAAATAACACAAGTAGTCATGGTTAGAATCAATCACACATATACATACTTTGTTGTCATCATCATCCGCGTTAATGCATAACATATTCAACAGCAAACAATTTCATGATGGATGTTGAATTTGATTTAAATGATTAAATGAAAATGATATGATATGATGAGAAAAAAAAGCTGTATAGCTGTTTCGGTTTTGTTGTCAAAAAAAAAAAGATGAAGAAAGAATAACGAATAAATCAACAAATAAATTTCATTCGTATAAATAGAGATTGTAGAGGTATATATATAATAATAATAATTCAAATCATCACAATAATTACGGATTTTATGATGACCTAACGATGATCATTGTTGTTGAGAAATTTTTTTTTTTCATTATTCTGCTTCTATTATATAATGGTGGGCAAACAAACAAAAAAAAACGAAAGATGATGAAGATTTAGGGATGTGAAGATGATATAGTAATAATAAATGAATAGATGAATAGATAGATATGGATCAAAGACCCTTTCTTGGAGGTAAAGAAAAACGATTCGAGTTGAAAAAAAAAATCTTGTTTTTTCTCTCTCTCTCTCTCTCACTGATGAAGAACCAGTATTCACCACCGCCAATACAGTAAAAAAAATGTGTCTTCGACTCGTTAACAAAACTACTAGTGGTTGGTTGTCCTTTTTTTGATTGTCTCTTTCTCTATCTCATTGATGATGATGATGATGACGATGTGAATGATTGTGTGATTATGAGTAGCCAGTTCGGTATTTTTTTCGTTCTGTTGTTATTGTTGTTGTTGTTGTTGGCATAGGTAATAATCTTACCTTTCGCCCAAAATTGTGTTTGTATGTATTGAGATGCTTGAATGGTAATTGTTGTTTTGTTGTTGTTGTTGTTGTTGTTGATAATAGTTTGAGTCGATTATGAATAGAAATGTTCAAATATAGAAAAAAACACTTGCTTCCACGGCGACCATCAAATCACTCTTTGATATGACATACACACACAGACACAGACACACAATGTCGAGGTTTATACTTTTATTTATCCGTAAATAATGGATAATGATGATGATGATGATGGTAAATATATTTATGGTGCATGCACACTTTTTTTTATCATCATCATTATTATTACATGTTATCATAAATCATCATGAATCGAATATAGACTTGATTATCCAGACATGATTATTGTGGCTCTATGTTTATAGAACAAGAAAAAAAAACAAACAATTTTATGTTGACATTTAAAAAAAAAAAATACGTACGACAACAAAAAGAATAATTACCCATTTCATAGTAAAACTCAAATCAATCCATACCAGGTAAAAATAAACCACCAAAAACAACTTGTGGATTATATATTGAAGAAAAAAAATTGCACTGTAAAAACAAAATTTCTCTCGTTGATTTTCGATTTTTATGTGGCTGCCATTTGAATTTTACAGAAAAGGAAAAAAAAAATCAATCAATCATTCATTCCTTTTTTTTCTTCAATGATTGATATGTACTAAGAATAGAATCCGATTATTTGAACATGAATAAATGGATCCTTTTTAGGAATGAAATGAAAATAAAAACGGATTGTATGTTTATGTTGTTTCGGAATCACAGCATGATTATATTATTATTAAAATCCATCACAAAGAATTGTATATACACAAACAAAAGCAACAACAAATACTCATTAATTCATGATGTGATGAAAATTTTTATCCACGGATAATAAAATGTAAACAATGTGATTATTACAATTTTTATTTTCTGATTGAAAATAAAAATGAATCCACATTTGATTGAATGGAAAAAAAACCAGATCACCGTTGTGGCATGATTTTTTTTTTTGTTCGAGTCTGTTTATTATCACTATATTACAACAATTGCAGAATATTGCCAAATTCATTGTTATTGTTTCAAAATATCATTGGTTCAATACATTCTTCAACACTAGATGGCATGCCTATTGCAGAATATTTTTTTTTCATTCATCATTTATTTACATTCGAAAATGCTGCTATTATATTGTTTTCATTGTTCTCTTTTTGTTGAATTTCAATTTTTTTTTGCTTTTCATCATCTTTGAAAAAAAGTTTTTTTTTGATATTAGATCTGATGATGATGATTATCATGTCAATCAAATGATTAGTGATTTGTAAATTTATTTCAACTGAAATCATCTTTTTTTTCTGGTAATACAATGTATAACATGAAAAATAATGTTTCCAATCTTATGATTATAATGATGATGATGATGATGTTTGACATATGAAAGTTTTGGTTCCCATAACGTAAAAGATAAAATCTTGATCACATCATTATTATTAATATCATCATCATTCTAAATCGAACATGAACGTGAATCATTTAGAATCTTTAGAATTCTCATATTTTCAATTTTGTTTGGTTTCTCTGGTAGTGAAAATGTCAACTTTTCTTTCACGCTTTTCCAACCACAGCCATCAACCATGGATATCGTTATCGTTGAATAGTTTTTTTTTGGCAACAAAAAAAACAAGAAGAAGAAGAAAATAAAAACGAATCAGAATCAAATGAAAGTTATTAATGACCAGATTTATGAAACATCCAGACAAACAAACAAACAAACATGAAAAAAAACTAATGAGAAAAATAATGATTTTATCTCTTCTTTGAAATGGAATTCATTTTCAACTGTGTCGATTGTGTGTGTGTGTGTGTGTATTTGTTACAAATCGAATGAATGAATTGCCGCGTGTCATCCATTTCTTGGATCCATTTTTTTATATTCTCACTGGTCACTGATAATCAGTTATATCGATAAATGGCAAGAATATAGTGAATCCGATAAATGGTTTTGATTACACACACACACACACACACCATATTATTGTTCATCATCATTAGCATCATTTGGATGACACAATATTGTTCATTTCCGATTATGTTCTAATGATTTTTTTTCAATCTCTGTTCCACATTCTATTACGAGATACAAGATAAATGATTTCAACTTTTTTTTTCTTCTGGATTTAATTATGAATCAAACCAATATGTGTGTTGTGTGTGTGTGTGTATGTGGTGTCCAATATATTGTTGTTGAATTTGTTCAAAATATCCGATTATCAAATTCTCAAATTTCCATTCATTTGTATATTGTTGAAAATTCACAATTCAACCCGTATCTCAGTCAAATTTCAAAATGATTATCGTGCTTGTCAATTATCTCATCAATATTTCAAATAAATCGATTGATCTGAACATGCACACGCACACACACAACGAAATTCAACAAAGAATTAATCAAATTATCACAAAAAAAAAATTCTTTCGAAGACAAATTAACAAAGCCATATGATCATTGTGTAAACAAAAATGCAAACCATACAAACTGTCAAATGTGTGTGTGTGTGTGTGTAACATTTGTTTGACCAGTTGGTTTTCTGAATTGTCTCTATGTGTCAAGCGTTGTTTTATACTTGGTGAACAACAAAGAAACTTCAAAGGATTGTGCATTGTCATGTCCGAATTCGTTTAAAGCCATTGACAGGAATGTGTAAACATCATTTATAATGGATGTGGAATAATAATGGCCTGGAACTATTAATATTTGCCCTTTGTTCTGGCTCTAAACAATTACCATTTACTACTTATTGGCTTTGATTATTGATTATTGACAAAAAAAGTTCAATTTTGACTATCAACTACATGCTTAAAGTTCAGGGGAACACCTGCATTCACAAATGGACTAAATTTTTTTTTCTTTACCATTCAAATGTGTGACCATCAAATGCAAATTGTAATTTTTTTTTTGCTGTTGCCCATCATGTGATAGTGTGTCAACAACAACAACTCGACAACCGGTGACAGTAAACAATACATTTTGATCCATAATTTTGGTGTCATCTTGGTGCTTCTTGTTTGACAAGCTTCAATCAAATTTTTCATGTTTTTTCATTCATTCATTCTTTCTTTCTTAAGAATCATTATTGTTGTTTTGTATATTGTGTCAACAATGACAACAACAAAAAAAAAATGAAATTGAAAAATGTAACACTTTTATTTTGTCCACTATTGAAAAATTGTAATTCTCTCTTAACTTGACCACCAACACACTTGAATATAACAATTGTATATTTGTGTCATGGACACTCATAATCATCACTTGATTGAGTGAAAAGGTGAAAAGATTTGTTCAGGAAGTCAATTTTACATTTTGTGTGTGTGTGTGGTTGTATTTTTTCTTGTTGAAGAGGAGCTAAATACAAGCGAAAAAAATTAATTAGTTTCTTATATCAATCCAGTAGGGTTAGTAGAGGTCATCATATCATTTTTTTTGTTCAATTCCCGAAAAATTTCATGGGATAAATATTTCGGACAAACATTTTTACATCCTGTTCATGTTTTTTTTGTTGTTGTTGTTGAAACATCTGAACTTTCAACACTATTTATTGTA